GGATATGGGAAAATATATCTGTATCTGTGTCTGATATTCATCTGTTGCATTATTATGAAAATCAACGCATCGGTTTAATCCATGATTCTTGAGCAAAGCAAACTCAATTATTTCTCACATAATAAATGTATTTCTGTAAAAAAAACGTGAGAGCCTGCGTCAACTTCAAATATATGTAGACTATCTTGGGTTTAAAAATCCACCTCATAAATTTTGCAGTTAATCACCTCGAGCTACTTGGCTAAGCTTATCTCACCGATAAGGTTGTTTCTCGCATTTTGCAGTACTCGGGATGAATATAATGAACCCAATGCATATCTCTGCACATGTATAGCTGCCTAGAATAGGCAGACAGAAGAGTAATGGACGGATGTAGCGCAGAGATTCTCCCGAGATAAATATGAGGATAACGTTGATTCGCATATTCACACAAGGAAATACACCCAAGATTACGGGATTGAGCCACAGCATAGAATAATAAACGATAAATGGTTGCAATTTGGGTTTAATGTCTCATTTTGGAAACGCCCAAGCAATCTCCGTCAGGAGAATTAGCGAAAGTTGGCAAATCCCGATGGAATGGATGATAATTTTGCAACCTCGGCATTCCAGATTGATCACTCCCGTTGTGTACTCGCTTCAATTTTCTTTTTCATCTCGAAATGAGGTTGACGATGGTTAATGTTTTGTTTTACAACAGGAGGTCGATCTGGGAAAAAACGTGAGTGGATGGACGGATGAAATAAAAGGACTAGCGGAAGTCAGGCTATTAGTTTAGTGGATCATCATGAATGAATGCGAACAAGACTTTACTGACATGATGGACAAGTAACTTCTGTGCTCTCCTCTGGTATTTGTCTGTTTCGTTTGGTTGTAGAAGGTAAATAATCGGTCTGTTTCACTCGCTGCCGCTTAACCAGGTCGTCAAACAGTGGGATGTTTGATGTTTTTCTACTACCTTTCATTTGTTTCCATTAACTCGGCCTCATCCATTAGTATGCTTTTAGCATGGAATAAATTAAGATTTCAGTCAGAGATGATGAGCAGGACGATCATAGGCGTGTGCTATGTCGGATTTTCATCCATTTATCCAAACACGACATGTCCTTGTAAGATAAATGACCTGTTATTCCGTAGAGTCTGGATGGTTTGGTAGACAACCAAATAATCCTACCATCCATACGGCCAAATGTCAAACCGAGATTATCCATTTGTCCATTTTCTTTGACTAATATTTACATATCATCAGTAGTGATTAAGCTAACAAATTGCAACGTGCATATTGCGGAACAATTACTCAGAGGATACAAAATGTACATGTCAGCCCTTAGGAAAGTACATATTCAGGTGTGGCAATCTTAAGAACTCTCTGCTGGAGAAAGATGTCATTATGTGGATATGTACACCTAATGGATATGTACACCTAATGGAATTCTTGCAACATAATTGTGCACAAAAGTGGAAATATCAATTTTGTTAGAGTTTTGTTTTTAAAACGTGTCTTTCATTTCCCAGGATGAGCTTTAGTCGTACTGGATTCTCGTCGAGAAAAAAAACGCACGCCATAAGAAAGGATTACAAATCCAATTCACAATTGTTTATGAGATGAGTTGCCGACGGGCATAACCTACGAAACCTCCACCAAGTACATAGTTGAGCAAGTAGCAGTTTTACTAAATCATATTTGTTAGTTGGTTGGCTGGTCTTGGGTGAGGTTTGTATGTAAGCCGGGGGGCTTCTTGGCTTCAACAGGAGCAGATCGCTTGCGAAAAAGAGGAACAAGTAAGGAAGGTGAGCATACATTGCGCGTCTCTAACTAAAGTGTCCAGGTCTCTGAAATGCAATGACACACTGGGGAGGAATTGGCAGTCGTGTGCAGAAAACGTATGAAAGTTGAGCCTATGGAGCCTATGGGGGCAACTTAGTTCTGGATTTCCTTTTTACCGAAACAACAACTTTGGGACTTGGCCACCGCCGTCGTCGTCTTGTTCTTCTTGCGCCTTAGCGGGAGACGGCATAAGGTTTCTTAAAATAAATATTTAGAATTTAAAAGTAGTTCACGAGAGAGACACATCTCTCTCTCTCTCACGACCCTTGCTTGACATGGACTCTGGCTGTCGTGCAAAATTTACATTTCGACGTCTCTAAACAAACGTGCAGAGAGAGAGGTGGCCTGTAGTTTTGCGTCTGGTTCAACTCTCATGCTTGCAATTACACTCTTGGTTTAATGATGTGAGGAGGGGCACACACGGCAGTGGTCGTACGACTGAAATAGCTGGGCTGATGAAGCGTAAATGGGAGCAGTGGAAGACAAAGTGGAGCCCTTATGCAGGTCGTATGGAAGCTTGATGAATGTAAATTAATTTTATCAGGTTTTGCACCACTGATTTAATCCTCACACAGTCAACCGAAACAGCTTTCTCTTTACAAACTAGAATTCATACATGTATGCACTGAGGCCACAATCAACGTGGTTGTGTAAATGTAAGTAGGCCCACGTCGGCCGCAATTTGAAATAATTTACGGTGGTGGAGGCATCAAAAACACAAACAATTCTTGGCTTGCTTGGAGGAGTGAAAGCAGCATCACTGGCAGCAGCACCAGCAGCAGTCAGGGTTTGTCTGAATATTTGGGGGAAGCGTTTCCTACGTATATATTGAAATTTAAATGGTGCATCGGACATTGACGATGCATTATATGTGAAGGCGTGGTCGGCCGAGTTCAGAGCTCATCATCTTCATCCTCCTCCTGCTGCACTTTGCCATCAAAATCAACGATGTGCTGTTGTGCGCTATCACATTAGATTTACAAATCAGCAAATATAGCGAGAAGCCCAATAACGCCAGCCAGAAGAGAGGAACTCCCCAGCAGCCAGCAGGTTTTGTTCCTCAGCTTTACGTGCACAAGAGAATCATCACCATCCCCCGTGCCACGCTTTCTCCATTTCGTGGAATTCATAAGACTTTTACCGTGGCGGTGGTGAGTGAAAGGGTGGAAATATTCTTCTCGTGAGTGGGAACAGTATACTTGCATAGTTGGCGTTGGTGAACAGTTTCGGTGTCTGTATCGCGGCATCGCATGTGGTCTCCTACTAATATATGAAGATCGTGTATCTTGCAGGAGACTGATGTGGAATACAGCAATAAATCACACTACGTGCCAACATTAATATTAAATTTGCACGATCTCACACTGTTCCACTGGCCAAACATTGATGGTACAAGGAGTACGGCTTCTGGTGTAACAACTCCGCCCACATTTCTCAGACAGATGATAACACACGGTTTATAAAAAATCTCTGAACAAAGAGTCAAACGAATGTGGCCCCAACATGCAAAACACTACTTAATAGAATAACGGCCAGGTCAGTCAGTTGTTGTTCGGAAGGGGAAATGCATTGGAAAGTGGAAGAACAAATGGTAAATAATGACCACTCACTCACTCACTCGCCATCATCATCATCGCTACCACCCAGAAATCATGCCCAACCAAACAGATTTGTAAATAGAAAGAAAAGTGACGGGACGTTATCCACATTCCGTGGCCGAGACTGTCAATAAAAATTATTCCATCCTCCAAAACACTCGTAGAGAAATTAAGCAGATTAAAATCTATTTTTAGTCTCGAAAAACAGAAACCAAGTTGTTGTGAATCTGAAAAGTGTGAGAGTTTCTGCCAGTTGGGAGCAAAGTAATTATGTTTCTGAGCATACACAGCGTTATGGCATCCAACTCCTACGGCCACACAGTACACCTACTCCTCCTCCTCCTCCATACATACATATTTCGCATTCCCTGTTGCTTTGGTCGGCCCATTCATTTTCTCTGCCTCCCTCCTCTCCAAGTTTAGCACTGGCAGTGAAGAGGGAATTGGATAATTTGTAAAAATTAAGCTGGAAAATGAAATTCTTGCCAGGATTTTAGGATTCTATATAGCTGATAGAAAGCTGTGAAAAAGAGTGCTGAAAAAAACGAGGATATGTTCCGGCACTATACGTGAGTATGGAATGGTTGTGTATCACATGTTTCGAAAAGAAAGCGAGCACGAGGGGTGAATGGTGGAGAAAGTCTTCAGCCAGAGTCATTCAGATATGGCAAATTGGTGAAGCAACTCTGCTCGGGTGAAACTTGCCCAAGTCAAACGAAATGGCATCTGTAGAATTAAGTTAATCCCAAAAGATTGAGTCAAGACGTGAACGCATTCTTGCATACTGGGCGTACATACTGGGGGGAAATTCATTGGGGGATCCCAGCCTTTTTTCCATGGCTAAATGGCTCCAAGTACCCCATTTTCTCTCTTTCTTCCCAGAGAAAAGATTCCAAGGAACACGAGACAGATGGGCATGACTTCGACACACATATACTTACATATTACTCCCCATGAATGCCGAATGCCGCCCAAGTACCACAGTTCTTTTATATGTAGGAGGAAACGTATTGTTGCTCCTGCCATTTGCTACTTAGGACGTTGAAGAACACGTTTATGTTCGCATGACACATGTACAAATACGAAAAAAACTGGTTGCATTTGCACCCAGGTCAGTCTTAAAATTACATTTATTTCCTTCCCGTTGGCCACTACTAATATGGCTTAATTGACACCGTAAACTTGAATTCCAATGAAATTTATTATGGGAAAATGAAATTTACATACAGAATTTTAGAATTCACTTAGCTCGAGAATTATCATTAATCTAATACTTTTGATTATTTAATTAATTTTTAAGGAATGTTGAGACAATGCATAGAAATTAATCCCAGATAGTGCGTGAATTTAAGCATTGTATTATCGCACATAATGCAGACACTCAAGTGATTCCATAACCTATAAGGGGACATCTACCAATAATAGCGATACATACATACTGATGGCTTGACGCTCGTTTGGAGTTAATAGCATATACAGAATCAATCAATTAACGCGGATAATAATCAACATGTGATACAAGAATGCCTTGTCGTTATAAAATAACCGTATTTAATAGTCATTATGTCAGGGAATTTGAGTGTTTTATCCATTTTTAACTTTATTCAAATGTATTTAGACGAAAAAAGTGCAACAATAGTTATATATTTTCGCGTTTTGTCTACGTGCATGATATAAACATAGTTATTAAATGGCATTATAGCGATGCACGGGTTGATTGAGCTGTAAAAAATTTCTTCACAATGTAGGGTTAAAGATATGGCTCGTAAAATAAAGAATGTAAAGACTAGAGAAAATTGCAGAAATGGAGAAAAGAGGGAAAGTCCAACTGGAACTGTGGCACCATCTGATTCTTGACGCTGGAAAGATAAAGAAACACCAAAATCATCACTATGCAACGGTCATGGGTAGACACATGCCAGTATTGAAATGAGAGGGAATGCATCCCTTTGTGTCGAGAACATTGAAAAAATTCACCGTTTGTACATATGTAAGTGGGCCAAGGAGGAGACCAAGTTTCAATAAAGTGGGATTTAAGGATCGCCATTACACAGGAAATCGTGGAATCGAAGTGGACTGTGCTGTGAGTGAAATTGCGTGAATGTAATGCGGTTCGTATGTAGGATATTGATAGTAGTGGACCCAAGTGCCACCCAGTCCCATCTGCTCGAAAAGGGAAAGTTGGCCCCATCACAAGTGCTACATACATATCTTGTCTACAATGTCTTGGATTATCTGCCTAGTTTACTGCCAAGATAAAAGTTTCTAAACTGTGTCTCATGCATCATAATCCACAAATCCTGGTTCTAATAATTGAGAAATTACCACTTGAGAATTTACATACCGGAGGAGTACTGATTTCGTGCGGAGGAGTAGAGTGGGTGCTGGTAATTCTTGTTCTGATGAGTAATATTCTTGCTGGTAATCCATTCGCGACCGAGGATGGAAGCCTTGCATTTAATTCGAATGGCCCCTTTATTGAAAAAGTTGTTATCCACGCGTACGCGGAGACCGATTACGGATGTCCAAACCTCCTTTCCCTCCCGGTCGATCTCCTTCACTGACTCGTACTCGGTCACATTTGGGCTGCCCCACTGCCAAAATTTGTCACCATTAGAAGATATGAATGGTGAATTTGTAAAACACGTAGTATAATGTATATAAAGCTGCTTTTCTGTATGAATATAGTCATAGTATACTTGGTGTAATAAGGAATAGCCCGTTATAGTGCATGCATTACAACATCACTTTTAATAATTAGTTCTACCTAAGGAAAACAAAGTTCTCACTATGCGTTTAAAATCGCTTAATTTTAAGCTAGAATTTTTACTGTGAGCAATTGACAAGTGACAAGGATTAGGCTCTCATAATAATAAAAGTACACAGAGAGGAGAGCCAAACAGAAAACCTTTCGGGAAAAAAAACATTATCCGACACATCTCAATATCCGAAATTTAGCACCTTCGTGAAAGTTGACTTTGTCAAAATCTGAATTGAAGATGCCAGTTCAATTTGGAAAACTTTGTATACGGCGGAACGAGAAAGGAGCAGAAGGTGGGAGTCAGTTGTTAAGGTTTATCAAAAACTGGAGAAAGTCACGTAGCGTAAACTAAACTGGTTGTTTTCTCTTTGGGGGAATTTCTTACTTCCAGTCACATCTCAACACTACGTATCATAACTAACTTTTAAGTTGCTCACTTTCTCCCCACCTTCTTCTCTTTCTGGTTTGTACGAGAGCGAGATGCACAGAATCGTGGTGTGTAACTTATCATCATCGGCGAGCAAGAAAAAAAGACACAACGTAAACACCAAGCAACATACACAGGTTTACACTCACCTTTCTCTCGTTGATGTAGAAAGTGAGATTTGCGGCTGGATAACTTTTATAGGACGTGCAGTTACCCGTAAGAATTTCATACATGTGGATCGTGGGTGAGAATTTTGATAGATGCGGATTACCCGGATTTGGTGGAACTGGAATTAACCCCCCCAAAAAAATTGAGGTTAAGTCGGCTTAATTAAAAAATCGTTTCCTTGTTGGGTGTGAGGTGAGACGGAGAAAGATGAAAATATATTTATGTATAAGAAGTTGCTTACTTATGACGTTCAGTTTCCTCTCTTTGAATACAGTTTGGAAAACGGGAGATTCTGAGACTACCTCGCACCGAAATAATCCACTCGAATTCAAGCTCAGACTCCGAAGAGTAACCCGGTTGGGGTGGTTGTGAAGTTCTTGGTTCTAAAGTTGTAAATTAAAGGAAACGCTATTAACTCACTTCATTTCATAGGAGGAAGATGAATCCTAAGGAGTTTGCTGTGCTAGTGTTTGAGTTGGAAATTGGAATTTCACCTTATTTATGTTCATGTTAGTGGAAAGCGTAAAACTTTGACTTATTTGTAAGTGAGTGAGTGAGAGTGAAAGAGAAACTTGGCTGACTCACGTCAACTTGGACGCCATGAGTTTGGAAAGTAACAATGTTTGGTCGACTGTTTGGAGAATATCTGAAAAACTCTTGATCATTTTTGTACCACTGGAATTTCAAAAAGTTTCATTTTATTCTCTTTATTTATGCATCATATTTATTGGCTAGCAGCACAGCACCTTCAACGAGTAAAGCTTGTCGTCCTCCAACCTATGCACAAAAAATACGCTTTTGATTCCCACAATGTATCAGGCCTCTGTCGAACTACAAATTTAGGGCAAGTTTAAAAACGACGTTCACAAACCGGTATTGACATTCCAGACCAACGGACTGCCCGATTATGGCTACCGATGGCACGGTCACGTTCTCCAGCCGAATGCCTACGGTCATCAGTACACCTTCAAGAATACGAGATCATTACAATAATTACCATCAGGGGAACAAGTTTTACGTGCAGATGACTATTTTTGACGCACCAATTTGTCAAGTACACGATTAAACATCAAATATTTACCACCTGAGCCATTCAACATGCAGCACACCCCTGTTTTATGCTCACCCTTATAGTCTCTCCATTTTATATCATGCCTCAACATATTTAACAAAGCAGAACAATGAAAACTTAACTCGTCGCAAGGTTTGCATAGATTTCCATTCAAACTCTTAAAGAATGGAAAACAAATGAATGGATAATTAATGGATAATTGCTCGATACATACACAGAGAACACACAAATGGAATTGTGCATATCTCGTCTCGGAAGGAGTCGTCGAGTTGTAAAAATTACTGAATTTAAGAAATGAGTACAACATCCCGCACTTATGGCGAAGTTTATTTACACAATTCAAAGGAACTCGAGAAGTTAAAGCAAGTAAGTCTTCGTCGTCGTCGTCGTGTTGCTTTGCCTTTAGACGGCTGCCGGTGTATCTAGATAGAGGCTGTTGAAGTTCAAAATGACTTGTGTGCCTGTGACTACATATAACGTTCCACATCTTGCACCCAAAGTTGAGAGCTTTCTCCAAAAGGTGTTTGTGTTTAAATATTCTTGTAAACTCTGTTATCCATCAGTTGGAAAGTGGAGAGAGTCAAATTAAACTCGAAGAAGTCTGTTCTGTAACTAAATCGTCCTTTTCTCTTTCGCATTCTGTATCACTCCTTTTATCCATTACTCATGGTTTCTTTTTACACTTTTGATTCTCAAATACAATTCCACCCGGCTCCTTCTTTCGACGCATTCTGTCTGCCTGCCCGCTTCAAAAACTACCACTCACTTCTTAACAAGAACAACATCAATTTGTAGCACAACGAGAAAAATGTCCTTTCCATTTTTATTCAGCATTCAGACAATTGAGTTACAAAGAGCTCATTTTATTCATACAAATTGTCTCCATTCTTCTTACCTCTTTGCACAGATTTGAGTAATACCTTGAATAATTAAAACATTTCGGCGTCTTCACTCGCTCTCTTATTTACTTGGCTTAAATACAAGCACATCTCGGCATCCGTGTCATTGGTGTTGCACCAGGAAATATACGCGGATAAAATCATTTCTTTACCTTACTCTTACTTATGTACATATGTATTATTGCCTCAAGAATTCGTCACACAAGTAATAACGTAAGCATCTCATGTCATTTCAGAGTCCGGAAGATAAGACGTAACTACGTACGTATGTATGCAAAGAGTTTCATTTCTTGATGAAAATACAGTGGGTAGAGATATATGTCCTAAATATGTGTATGTGGTAAAAGGCTGTTGCGTTGTCTACCAAGTAAAACTAGTACGTGAGCCACTATTTGCACATCCGCAGCTTCCTTGTCAGATTAGAAATTCCGTTCGACTTGGCGGCGGATGGAGGGCGAAGAAGGAACGAAGAAGGGAAGCATGGAATGAGATCCTGTTACAAACTAAATTTGAATCCCTTTGAGGAAGACGTTTTTCCCATCCTTCTAGTAAATGGGCAATATGCGGTAGATAACTAAATTTCCTCCAAGATCTGCAAGCGTTGGGTGCAGTAGACATGGGACAACTTGGGAATCCCTTCAAATGGGAAACCTTCGTCGAGTCACAGCTACTACATACTCATCACATCTTCTCACTCAACATCCGCCGTCCACTTTGCTCGTTCCATGAATATCTACCATCTGATAATCCGTCCAACTCTATGTACATAGCCGAGTCTCATCCTCGTCTCACGCAAACCTGAATTCCTGACAGATATATTTCTACTCCGATTTATATGTGCAGCGATACGAGGAGCGATTGCGGAAGTTCCAGAGAAATGACGACGACGAGGACAAGTGTCACACTTGTCTCAGTTCTGACACCCCCTTGCGGAACTTTGTTGGCTAGATTTTTTTATTTGCGAAATAAAGGAAAAATGAATCATGCTTCTCGGATTTTCATCACCCTCGTGTAAGAAATCACTTGCAATTGTGGAGAAATAGTAAGATAAGAAAACCATATGAATTGGAATTGGATGCAAGTCTTATCAAGTTTATTGGAAATAACGGCAAGGTTGCACAATCAAGCTCGATATGAAAGGTTGACTAAAACAAGTTCTGATTACTGAGATTGAGTGCAGCTGATTTCCTTCTTGGACAATTCAGTTATCCTACTTTCCTCTCCTTTCATTTGTAATAACCTGCTTTGCTCTCACATAAATGATCGCATAAATGAGATTGTCGGGTATTGGAAATATTTTAGCAAGTCCTCACCATATTTGTTGCAAGCCAAATATTTGGAAAATGCCAAAACATTTATTGTTTCAAAACTTTTCCCTTCCGGACATGTTTAATGCCGTAAATAGATAAAACTGCGCACATAAAATGCATTAAGCTGACCACGACAGTAAATATCCACTAAAGAATACGACCACTTACTGCATTGTAATGCGAGGCCCAGGAGAAGAATTCCAGGGCAGTGACAGGGCGAGGGAATTTTACTTTCTCCACAAACAAGCCTCATTAGTATCCGCTTCGTTAGCCTGGTTGGAGAGTCAGGAATCACTACGGAATTAGTGATTGTAGACCTATTACGGAAATCCACTCTCCCTTTTCCCCTCCTCGGGCACCTCTAAAAGAAGCCTGCTTTCCTCGTCTCACACGAATGTGCAAGAAAAAGACAACTCAACAGCAAACTTGGGGCAAACATCTCCAGCACACACTCGTCCTCTTGTACAGCAAGTTGGTAAGTAATTGTAATCTTCAGAGAAAGTAAATAGCCTCGTTGTGTTTTGATTGCACTTGAATTTTGACACCATTTCCACACACTTGTTACCACTCCATTTCCTTATCTCGTCAAGAGTCGAGGCTTGAAATTTTGCTCAATTTCCCTTTCGGAACCAAATCCCACTATAATTATGAATGGGAAGTTGAAATTTGCGACTTTTTCTTCTTAGCAAGGAGACAATTTGGATGCCCTTCTCCTCTCCTCAAGGAGTTGTTAACCATTTCATGGCACGAGGCTCCCATACCGCACTGATACGTTTTGAAAGAAATTGAATGTTGAATTTGAATTGAATGCTTCGTTGGCTCCCCTTGAGATCCGGTGCTGGTGGAGACTGGAAACTCGGAGAAACTGAACTGAACAGTTGAGAATTACAGCATCCTAGTTTCATATCGCTGCTGCTGATCGTGAGAGAACGACCGGCAGAAAGACAGGCCAATGTTCTACCCCATCATGTTCCTCCTCCAAGTGTTGAGAGCTCTGAAATGTACTCGCATTTCATTATGGTGAAAGTTTGATCAAAAGTTGCACTATTCTCGCATTCTGGGAGCACTTTTCTTGAGGTGATACTTGAAATTATGGCTACTGTACTCATTTGTTTGACAAAATATTGCTCTGTGCAGAATTTGTTAAGGGAATGTTGATATATAACGATGACAAAGTGTGGACATATTCATCTCTTTCGCCATAAATTAGATATAATTTCAAAATATGGAAACCAGTTTACATTATGCCTAGAAAAATTGTATTGAAAACTAAATATTTAATGACATCCTAGCATTTTTACATATGTACGTGTGTATGTTGCGGGTATCAAATAGATAATTCGTATGTGAAGAATAAATATCGGTAGATACTTTGCTTCAAATTTTGGCTTAAAAAACGGCGTGTACCCTTTTGGTTTAGATGACATTTAACAGCTTTCCTCCGTGTACCAATTTATATTGTTTGTCAAGGCTTTGCTATAATGGTTTGGTTTGATTTTATGAGACGTTGTCTGAATAGAACACAGGATGAGAAGTCCTATATTACGAAATAGATAACCGACCATGCATAGAAAGCCTTTCGTGACGTAAACATTTTAAAACGTTAAAACGACGCAAACGTTTTAAAAAATAACTCAATTGCGCAGCAGGAAAAAATACTTTCCGGAAATTTGTTCAAAAATGCCTGAGAAACTGCCACTGACAATGCGATGACGCCAGCGGTCTCGCTCCGATTTTGACGAAACGACGAAAAATATGTAGCCTTAGGTAAATAATTAGACACGTGTTTCAGGATTTTTCATAATGCTCAGCTTAAACGAAATTATGATGAAATTCATAAGCGAGAATGTGCATTTTACAGCGAGAGTTTTCTCGCGAGAGCGAAAAATACTGATTCTCCATACATTGAATTCGGACGCATGAAGTTCTTCATGTTCTTCAAGTTTGACCATACCAATTTTAAATTGTTCACATAAGGAAGCAAGTGGACCCATATTTTTTGCGCTTTCCGAGTTTTTATATTTTCAGCTGTAGCTGAATTTTTGAATAAATTTTTAGCCAAAATCAGAATTTTTCAAAATAATGTAAATTTTCCAATTTCGATAAAAACAACATATTTACACGGAATTACATTACATAATTTTAGAAAAATTAAGTAACTTATGAAAAAAACACTTTTCAAAAAGTTTTTAGGAACGTATTTTTTATAACTTCATTGAAGTAATTTTTACCAAAAGTGTTCTTAATTTTTTAATCGGGTCGAATTTGGAAAATTTAGATCATTTTGAAAAAATTCTGATTTTGGCTGAAAATTTATTCGAAAATTCTGCTACGCCTGAAAATGCTAAAAACTCGGAAAGCGCAAAAATACGGGTCCACTTGCTTCCTTATGTGAACAATTTAAAATTGGTATGGTCAAACTTGAAGAAAATAACTTCATGCGTCCGAATTCAATGTATGCGAGGATATGTATTTTTCTCTCTCGCGAGAAAACTCTCTGTAAAAATGCCCATTCTCGCTTACGGATTCCATCATAATTTCGTTTAAGCTGAGCATTATGAAAAATCCTGAAACACGTGTTTAATTATTTACCTAAGGCTACATATTTTTCGTCGTTTCGTCAAAATCGGAGCGAGACCGCTGGCGTCATCGCATTGTGAGATTGATCCACCGATAAAACATGCTTCCAGCGATGATTTTTCCTCTTGACAAACTTCGGATAAACTCTGAGGGTCTGGATATACCGTGTGTTACAAGATTCATTAAGTCAAATTCATTAAGCGAAACCGGAATTGGGACAAAATATCCTGCTTTTACGATAAAGTGGTGGTCTACCACAGCTTCAGATCCCAGAAACGACAAACAGTGCCCTTTACGAGAAATTGATCTTTATAGTCTACAATTAGACCGATAAAGAAACCCCACGTATCAACGACAGACGGGAAACAATTAAAGGTAGCTCAATCAACTATTAGGAAAGTCATTCCACATAAACTTCTGATGCAAGTTGCATGATTTTTATTTATTGAGCCAAATCTGTGGAAATGATGTAGGCTGGTTGCCCAGAAGCCTGGAGAACACGGTGCACAGACAAAACTAATTCACAAACGCCGGATACAATATAAAATTAGTTTCCTACTGTGTAAGAACCGTTCATCCTCGGTAGGCTTTTGGTTGTACGGTTTATATGCAAAATAGCATGAACTTTAATGAATAAGATGGCTTTTTGCACGAATTAAGTAAACGACAGAGTTTGCAAACCACTCCTCTTGCTCTTCCTTCTCCACCCTTGTTAATACTTGTTATACATTCATTCCTGGTTGGTTACTCCAGGGATATGGCCGAGGAAAGATATATACATATACAGTTCAACTCTATGGTCTCTCTTTTTTCGCTATTGTGCTTAATACTATCATGTTACGATTATGTATTGACGGTGAAAAGTAATAGGCCCCATGGGTCAAATCAGAAGAGTAGGTTAAGCCAAACCTTCCCTGAGCTTGACCATTAGAATAGTGCTTCTAAATATATGCATGCATACCATGTTTAATCATTTATACGCAGCTTGAATGAAGCTAGACAAAGATTTCCTTACACAAAAGTATGAAGTAGTGCACAAAGCGAATTGTTTGGCGAGTGGTCTGTTAGATAGATTGATGGCCAGAGGTTAGGACAGATGGGCAAGTAATTGATTCCATCTCAACTCCAGATGACCAGTTACCATACATGTGCATACATGCAGATAACAGTAATTACTCGCTGTCCACAGACATTGAGGAGCTATGTATGTTTACTTACTTGGTCTTACTTATCTGACTACAGGGACTCATTATTACTGCGGCGACTATTGATAAACCAACTCTTTTTTGAATTTTGTCGACCTGTCGTCAGTTTAATTCACAAGGGCGAGTTGCAAGTTGCAGTAGGTACGATTCCCAGTGAGTTTTTGCAGGGACAGAGTTAGCCATTATTCATTAAGACCATAATGAGCATTAATATCGATATCATATTTGATTACCTCGGAAGGTTGAAATTAGTAACTGTGGTAAGAGAATTGTGTTTTATTGCTCAGATTTCGACTACAGAAGTGATTTTATCTTTAGGTCGTAGGATTCTTGGATTTGCTCCTAATTGGCTATTCTTACTACAACACGGACGCCAGGGACCAGGCATTCCTTTCTGCGGTTGTAGTCTGCTTCGTGTTCTCATTTCTTCTGGTGTTGGGAGTTGTACTCGAATATGTCGTCGTGTCAGATTTCTTCATTAGAATTGTAGTAACAATATACGACTTTATTGAAATTCATTATATTTTGACCAAAAGGAAGTAATTTGTTTTTTATATGTTAGGAAATGGTGTTTCACAGTGCAGCCTGTCTACTCCTGTTAGGAACCGATACATTTTTTCTCATTTCTATTTTGAAACATGGAAAAGGCGAAAATTTCGGGATAAGAATTTTGGCAATGGTAAGATCCTCCTTTTTGCAAATATTTCTACTCATGTTGCTTTATAAAGTAGAGAACTTAAAACATGCAGATGTTTGGATACCTTAATTCGGCAGTGTATGGATACCTGCCATGGACCTTGGTAAAATCAACATAGACACGGCGTTATACTATAAGAAATCATCGCTTTAATTCTATAAACTACAACATTGTAAATAATAATAGTATTAATGACGTGTATGATAATAGCACCAAATTTTAATCTACAAAACATGATGTACTTTAGGCTGAATTAATCAGAATTGAAATTAAATTATTTTACATCTACGAATAAAGAGAATTAATTATTAATTAAATTAATTAGAGTAAATATTTGATGAAATTTTAGTTAATATTCCAAGGCTTCTTATAACCAGCCAGCATACAATAACGTGAGTAAATTGTAACTAAAAGGTTGCATCGGCATTCAAAATGGATTGCATTCCTAGACGGAGTGAATAGTACGAATTATTTGATTATTATTATTAGATACTCATATCAAGACAATTAATTGGTCGCGGTATTAAATGCACGCTTCATGCATCATTTATTATAAGCATCACAATTATGCAAGTAAGTTTTCGCTACATTTATTTATGTATGTAAATTGAAATATACGAATTTTATACTATTTAAAATTTAATCGTTGGGCATTTTGAATGGCTTAATTATTGTGCATGTTATTCATAGTAGTATTATTACATTCTCCTTATCTAATGAGTATCGCTGGCATAGACACTTGTGATGTGGAACAGCTTATTGAATATTCGCTTTCCTTTCTTGCTGAACTGATATGAAGCTCTGGAGTTTGAAGCACTCGTTATTAGGATAGCACAGCAATATACGGGAGGTTTGATTAGTATATGTTATTATGATTATGTTACAAGCAGACGGTTCTTTCTGGATTATGTGAGTTAGTAATGCCACTTGGATTTGTAATTTCGTTAGTACTTGGGTGTAGCGAAAGCCTGTAATAAAGCACACGTTCCCTTCTTCTTTCTATCCCACTGATCGACTATTCCCCAGCAGAAGGCTCCATGGGTCGGAAGGACTCCATCCAGTTCACGACTTGATAAGGTAACTCTGCCAACACCTCGGCAGCCAGCGCTCGTTTTCTGACGTAAGGTTGTTTGCTTCCACGCTGGTCTCTTGACGCAGACATGAACTTCTTAAAGTCTGAAAATGATAATGATTTTGATAAAATATTTGTTTTTTTTTGTAAAAGTGAGTCAAACACGTACCAACAGCCTGCACGATATCTCTTTGGGCCTTCTTCCCGTTAAGTTGCAACAATCGTCCATCGCTATCGAGTTCAGCCATCGACTCGAAATTGTTGTCTGAAAGGTGAAAGTATGAAAGTAAAAGTGAAAGTATGTTTCAATGAAATGTATTGAATGAGCAAATTTATTTACCTCCAACACAAATTATGACTGAAATTAGAAAAGTTTTTAAATATTAGCTTCATGTATAAAATCAAGTGAAGATGAATATTTTTCTCAAGTTACTTACTAACGGACATGGGAAGACCACTCGCATTTATAATTGTTTCAATCGTTAATGTTTTATCTGTTGAAACAATTTTGTCGTTATTGTTTGAATGAGCTTACTTTAGATAAAAATATCTACCATTAATAATTCCTCTCGTGATCATTAACAGCACAAAATACTTTGTTCCATTTTGGTTGCTCTTTGCGAGTTTTGCAGTTTGTTTGATTGATTCGGAAAAAATTGCAGGGGTTGATATCGTCACTGTAAACAAAGCCAAATATTAGTTTATAATAAAGTGCATGATTTGGATTGAACGATGGCGTGCAGGACATGCTTGCTATGATTACATGGCATTTGTAATAATGTGACATTAAATCTCACCTTTTTTAAGAGCTTCATGGTATGCAGCCAAAATTCCATCTACCCCTTCACAGGCAGGATTATCCGAGTTATAATTTAGGGGGAAATATTGATTGATCTACGCATCATAAATTAGACAATGTCGAAATTGAAGGCATACGAATAAAATATTTATTTACCATTTCATCCTTTGTTGGTTTTGCTCCAAAGGCGAATGCTGGAAACCGTTTGTCAGCATCGTAATCTTGTAAAACATCACCTTCAAATGAAACAGATGAACCGATTTCAAAAATACTTTTAACTATTCGCATGAGAATAAGGCACTTGACCACTTATTGTAACGCGATTAAAAGAACATTAGCCATTGAGCATTTGTAGCGTGGTCACAAAAGTGCTCCACGCACTTACCCACAGCTTTGATGGCAGCAACATAACGATTCTCCTGTTCCCCATCAATGTAATGGTACCTGCACGAACACATTGCTTCATTCCATGTCTATTTAGATATTGGTCGATTTTAATAATAGAAAAAGGGAATCGTACGAGGTAGGGGATTTTAGGCTCTTGTTATGTGAAGAGAAATCAATCACAACGGTCCATTGAAGTTGAAGTCCACTTTGTAAGTAGTCCACGAATGTCTTTTTTTCGTCAACTCGCAGTTCTTGGATTTGAAGGAGTCCGGAATTGGTGTACGACTGGTTCTTTTCCTTCTTCCTCAGATTTATCAGTGGAAATGATGCCTTGCCATCTTGAAATGCTGTGAAAGAACAAGCATAAATAGTAATGCACTTGGTGAAAGTTAAAGTAATATCAAAATGCCCCAAACACCTATTTACATTAATCCTAAGTATGTATCTATGTACGCACCTTGCATTGCTTGTTGGAATGTTGTGAGGAATTCCCCCACAAGTTTTGGAGGACCATGATGACTCCAATATAAAACACTCCATCTTAAAACTGTATTCTCGTGTTTTCCCCCCAATGAGGACATTCGCACTGAGAAGAATCTCCAATTTGGATTTTTTGTATTCTAAAATATGCAGATGCATTTTGCATTTACTTTCACTGGCATTAAAAATACATATATTTGACATTGAGAAAAATACCTCGAGAACCTCAGTTTTATGCACCACCGTCCATGATCCATCCTCCAGTTGTTTGGAGATGATCAAATAAGGATCGTGCTTACTCAACACGCCTCGATTGATTAAATTGGTGCAGCTTAAACGAAACCCAACGACGTCTTTCCCTTCCTTCTCACTTATTTCTTCCACGACAATGGTGATTGTTGAGGGAACGTCACTTTGACCCAAAATCATGTGTGGAATGGCCAATTTGCGGACAAACTGTAGCCTCAAACTTTTACCACCTTTCTCCAAAAATGCGTAATACATAGCATGCAAATTAAAATTAATGATTGTTACCCTTTTGTTTGGTGCAGCGACAATCTCTCCCAAAGCACAATCCAACATTCCGAGAAAATCTTGGTCCTTCCATGAACTGGTTTCCTTGTCCCAATCATAAATTTTGAACAGGAGACTCTAGAATAATAGCGTTTAAGGGCGAATTTGAAATTAAAATATGTCGAAATGTTTACAATACGTAGCATCTATATTTTTTAAAGTATTTAAATATCTATAAACATAGTCAAGTCATTTGAATCATACCTGACGTTCTTCAAAATTATATCGAATGCTAATCTTCGTATTCCATTGAGGACTAAATGTATTTTCCAAGACCTCAGTCCTAGCCTAAGTATTTAATTTATATTTATGATTGTTAGTCCATTTTTACCCTAGCATGATGAATTAATATGCAATGCATAATAAATTAAAGTTACTCACATATTCGACCCAGTTTTTCCTGTGTGGTTTGGTTACGTAAACGGCACAAATTGGGTCAGATCGACTCAACTTGTCACGATCCACAAGATTTCTTTAAAGGACAAACAGACGGGTAAACATGTGTGCATAATACGTAGGTGTTTTATTATTAATTTTCAAAAGGTATGTTCCGCACTGTTTCTGACCAAAATTTTGATGAAATAACAAACTTCAAATACATTTAGGAGGCTGTGATTTTTTTCAGCTCTGTGGGTTAACATAAACACTAGCAATAAATCGGCAAACTTTACCTCGACGGAAAAAATGCTAGATTTGCAAATTAAATATCGTAGTGTGATTTAATTTTTAATGCTGGATCGGCAATACGCAGATTTATGGTTGAATCCTTAAAATTTACGATGAAGACTGCCCAACACAAAACACAAATTCAATTGGGTCAATAATTTTAAATGATGGCGAAACGAGGTCTCGGACAAAAAGTCGCCAGGACGCTCAAAATCCGTTTCTTCCACAGAAAGGCTCCGGAAACTAGAGGAACAAATAATGAGAGATCCGCGATTGAAACTGTCCTATTTAGCAGATGAGATGGGTGTTCCAAAACCAGCAATTTGATCCATGTTAACTGAAGACTTAGGTATGAAAATGGTTTCCGCCCGTTGGGTACCAAAATTGCTTTCAGTATCTCAAAAACAGGATCGAGTCGACTTTTGCAATGCCAATTTTAACCTATTAAATGAAGACTTGAACCTGCTCAATATTTTATTAGTTGCATATGGTACTTGGGTTTACTATTATGACCCGGTGACCAAATAATAATTCCCTCAATGGAAGCACGAGGGGTTGCCACCGCCCGTGAATTGAAAAGTGCAAAAATCTGACAAAAAAATTGATGATGACCATTTTCAAGGATACCAAAGGTCCCCTCCTTATAAAATTTATTGCTGGTAATACTGCAATAAATGGGGCCGTGTATGCAGGAACCCCGAAGGAGCTGCGTCCTCCGGTTGAAAAGAAACGTGGGGTCAAAATAAAGAGTTGTCCTTTTTTTAGACGACAACGCGCCACCTAATACCTGGCTTTTTGCGAGGGTTAGTGCAGACGAAAATCGCTTTACCTGCACAAACCACGCCCCGTGCAGTCCAGACTTGTCCCTTAGTGATTATTATTCGTTTCGAAACTTAAAGAAAAACATCAGGGGAAAACGGTTTTCGGATGATAATGAAATCAAGTCGTAAATTTTGGCATATTTTCGAGGTAAATTTTAATGAGTTATTGCTAGTGTTAATGTTAACCTACAGAACTGAAAAAAATCACAGCATTCTAAAAGTATTTGAAGTTTGTTATTTCATCAAAAGTTTGTTCAGAAACAGTGTGGAACATACATTTTGAAAATTAATAATAAAACACCCACGTACATGACAAATGGGACATGGCAGATTGACACTTGACATTCATGTCAACTTGTTTGCACAGACCCGAGTAAGATGTTTATGTAGGTCATGCATTGTACTAAACGAGTGATTCCGTGATTGCGAATCACGGAACGTGACAACGATTGCATGTCTCCAACAACATCCACCCGAAACCGGAAATTGGGAAATTACAGGGAAATAAATTAAGTACGAGAGATGACAATCAAAAAAGTAGTTGACTCAACTGTGCAGAGATCGTTAGCTCCACTAAAGTTGAAGGCAGGACAAACTGTGGGCGTCGTGGGCGATGTTGGGGGGATAAAACTTCCTCACTGTCGGGATTTGTGACCACCACTTCGGGTGTGGCTTTTTTCTTGGTGCTCATGCTATTTATTATTCGAGGGGTCCCAGGACAGTAGCACCACGGACTATGTTGCAGTACAAACGAGGTCGACTAGCTATTGCATCCTCGTTCGTCGTGGTTCTCGTCGTTCTGTGTACACTTACCAAGCTCGCAGATCTGAAAGGTTAACTATTTATTCTAGGATGATGATGACGATGATGAGCTACTATACGCGTTGTTATTGAGCAGTGCTTAAGGAATGGAAGGATGTCGAATAATGTCACATTATAAAATAAGGATATAGTGCAGCAGCAGCAGCTACATACATAGTTCATCTCCCCGCTGGAACCCGGGTAGGACACGGACGGGCCAAACTACGCAAGAATTTTATTGATCCTAAAATAATACAGCATTCGCCAACTAAAGTAGTTTCCTTCCATCATATCCATCCAGCCACTTTTCTCCATCTAAACCTTTCCCCGACACGCGGACGGACTACTGCACACAGCTTCAATTCTTCAGCTCAATCAGTCCCAACACACCTAACAATAAAAGTAGTGCAATGTATGTGCATATGTAGCTGTCGAGCATTCTAGGTGTACATTATTGAAGTTTTTAGAGTTGTTGTTTGGTGGGTGGAGGAAACCACGCCGTAGAAAGTTGCACGGCAGTCATATTAAAAGGATTAGTTCCGCTTTCACCACAGTTAGTTGTATACAGAAATATTACATGAAGTGAACGCATGGTGGTACATAGCTCCATCGGATATGAATTTCTCAGACGCCAAAAAATTATGAGAGAACGCTGCTGGCTGGAACACGTCCAGCTCATGCAAAGCTTTAAGACACGCCACAATGCAATTGTGTACAAATTTTGCCGCATGTCTATCGAACTCTGGGCTGCAGTCGGAGAAAGTTTCTGATTCTGGCACAGTTTACATACAGCTGCACTTCGGCCCTTAGTCTTTGCAAGCATGAAAATAAATAGATAGCCACGCTGATAACTCGCTTCTATTTACTTTACTTACTTACTCTATGCTTATATAACATTTACTTTGCTGGACTACTGTTATGTGAATGTATGTTCTGAGTGACATACTTTCACCATGTTCATGCTGTTGCTGAATATGTATGTGCAATCCATGGCCGGGCAAAAAGATTGTGCATGTACATAGTTGTATATGTAGAAAATACAAATCTTGCTGTCTGACTGAATTATAGATGCATACATTTAAAAAGCGCTCAAAAACTTTGACCCAGACTCATGCAGCCAACATGTAAACGTCAAAGTTAAACGCTTCAATAATAACCATTCAACATTTTCACAAAGTTCATTTCATCGTGATCGTTTGCTTTAAAGTACGCTGAGTGAAAATGATGCTTATTGTAAATGGTCTGCAGCAAGCGATGATACAAACCTCTGTTGTCGATATGATGATGAATTAAAGTAATGCGACTCATCTAAAATTCAAATGGGTATCTATCGAAAGTATTTATCGTTAAGTGGTCAGAGTCAGAATAAGAACCCAGCGAGTAACGGCCCCACATTATATATTTAACCACAATGTTATGCTTCTTTTTCTAGATAATTGGCAGATCGCTGCACCCACCTGCCCCATCTTTCGACAAGGCTGGCAGGGACGACCTATTGCCTTTCAAAAATTGGTAAGTTTTTACTATAAGTCAAGCATTACCAAGACTTGATATTTTCCTTACTCATTAATTTAAGCACATGAAGCAAATCTGACTACAATGCGGTCCATGTAATACGACATGCACGGTGACAAAAGAAGAATACTTTTACTCTGTAATGTTTCCAAATTTGCCAACATTTCACATGAACGATAACAATCGGAGAGTAAATGGTCACATTCTAAAACAAATGATGCATTGATCTGTCCTATTGAAGCTTCAAATATAGTACAACCTGAAAGTTTACGTCATCTCTATCTAACTGCATGCATGCATTTTCAAATGTGTTTGCTTTCTCAATTATATTATTCTCAGTGAAATGTATAGATATTCATTTGGCAAAAATTTAAAACTATATTTATTTTTCTGCATATATGTACAAAGAACTACTGTCATTTGTTTTTTACTCTTTCAAGACAACAAACAAAAAATCCATCTGTAAAATTAGTTTCAAAATTTGATTTAACACAAAAACTAGACCACTCGTAATTAGAATTTTCGACACGATGAGTCCAGCCTGATAATGCTTCTTTCACTCTGAAATTGAAATGCGAAGTGTCTTGTATAGTGTCTTGTGCTGCTTCTTGACCTTCGGGATTTGCGATTGCATAACCGTCCCCCCATTCCAGGGCTGCTGCCACCACGTCCTCATTTTCACTAGAATTGATTGAACAAGTGGAATATACGATCCGCTTTACCTTTGGAAACTTCATTGCATGCACAAGTAATTTCCTCTGATAAAAAGCGAGGCCTTTTAAGCGATCTTTATTCCGTTTTGCTCCAGGACCATGTTGCATTTCCACACGGTTGTACATTCCTGTGCCAATTTTTTTTTACTCATAAACCATCAAGTAATACTGCAAAGTGTGACACGAGCTATTATTTGTATATATTACCAGATCCTGAGCAAGAAGGGTCAACTAAAATATATTCTACTTCGGGATGTTCGCTTGGTACAATATCTGTGAAATCTTTGTTTAGAATGGTCACATTTGTCGCTCCAAGTCCTTCCAGCATTGTTCTCAAAGTGTCACAACGTTTCGTATCCCGTTCAACAGCAATGATGGAACCTTCATTTTTTGTTAGAGCAGCCAATAGAGATGTTTTCATCCCGGGGGCTGCACAAGCGTCAAGAACAACTCGACCAATTCTTGGTTTCAGACACAGCGGGGGTAAACAACTAGCCTAAGGAAAATTATGGATTATAATAATGTTTTATGATGGAAATTATTATTCCCATCGATTAAAGCATAATTTACCTTATCTTGCAGTATGAGTGACCCATCCAAGTACAATGGATGCTTATAAAATTCTGTTCCACTTGGAAAGACTAACATGTTATCAACAAAATTATCAACAGCAAAGTAGTCGCCAGTCAGGTTATAGTAATCTTCTGTTTCTTGTTGGATCCATCCTTCTTCCGTCAAATAGCCAAGTGTTGTAGATAAGTCAGTTTTAAGCGTATTGACGCGAACATATCGAGGTTTTTTAACTCCAACTGAATCAATGGTAACAGGAACATCGTCAGCATCTGCGGAATCCTTCGCCTTGTTTCTATTTTTTCTCTCAATCTTGTTGATAACTTTGTCGAATTTTTCCCTATATGACAACACTGTGGTTACTGGCTTGGATTCTCCGCCCAGCCGTTTCTTCCCCCACAACAGCTCAGTAATCAGAATCTTGGTCAGAGGCACCTGGTACGAGAGACCTAAAGAAATACATGTGGAGAAATTTTATGAACAATTCCCTCATACATATTTACTTAAGTGTGCATGTACTTACCCTTCTCGTGTTCCAAAATTTTTGATTTTGTGACCACGATCGAAAGTAGTTCTGAATGTCGTAATGCCTCTGATACGAGCGCTGTCAACGCTTTCATATTCTAAACAATTATTAAAATGAAGCATGACACACAAACAACAAATAATTATCTTAATGTTTTTACGGGATGTTTTAGACTGTGGACGGCATTTTTAAGACCTTGGCCCTCTTCAATTTGCTTCAGAGCCTTGGCAGCTAAAACAGGTCGTGGCTTTTAGTAAATTATTAATAAATTGTTAATAAATTAATTTACTAACCTTCCTTATAAAGTCGAGGGACTTTAACTTTAAAGAAAAACATAAAATTGAAACATTAATTTTGAATTTACAACATTCGACTTTTAACGTTCATAAGTAATTCAAACCTGAGTGAGGTTTTCTTCCGCCCGTGGAACCACCAGTGACCGTATGACACTCTTCCTCCATCGCAGTATTATCAAAATCCTCCATTTTGGGGGTCAATTAATTAAATTATTGAAAAACAAGTCGATATGAAAAACATGTAGTACCGTCAACAAATGCACATGGGTTTTTGAGAACTCCGCTCAATAATATACCAAGTCTCCCATGTACATGAAAAAAGTTCCTTTAAACTTTGATGTAATCATAAATTTAACTTCAAATTTAACTCTTAACGTATTTTTTAAAATAATAAGCATGCTAAGATTATAAGGCCGTGAGGTTATCTTAGGTTTCAATAATATTTCATATCTATGTACAAGCATATCCTTTGTATTATAACCACAATATCGTTTAGGTAATCCAATTTACACTGTATAACATTATTTTATCACAAGTCTCAAATTCCCTTCCAGAAATATGGAATCATAATTCTCAATTTCATAATGCAAACATGACTTGAACAAATAGAGGTGGAAAAATTCAGCTATTGACAATTATTAATGTAATACATCATACATATGACTTTCATAAATTCGAAATTCTTTGTTTATAAACAATCCAACGTTAAGTCGAACAATGGCAAAGGTGCAAAAGAAAAGAAATTGTGATATCATATCCATTAGGACGTTAACAGTAAGGTGACATAATTGTGGTGACCAAAGTTTACGTGTATCCATTACTTCTTGACAGCGATGATGCTGACGAGCAGTAAAGTGAAAGTGATAATGCAAAATTCATGTAACTCTCCAAGAACACCTCGAAATTGGATTTGTCTCAAAATGTGCAACTTGTTAAATCTCTTGCTACTTCTTTTAATAGTTAATCTTTCCCTCGTGAAAGCTACTTATACAAACATTAGTGAGCATTCGGGTAATGTAGGTTGGATCAGATTGTGCACTTCTGGAGGTGGTGACAATATTTTGGGGGTGGTGACGGCGGATAAGTGTTCATCAGGCTACTGGTTCAAAGACCCAGTGAAGATTGGGTGTGCTTGTGGTCATGGCGTGTGAGTCAAATTGCAATACAAAAGCTATGATTTATTTCTTGATAATTCGCAATTTCTCGCTACAGATGGATATTTGCTAAAGGATGGTGTGACAAAGCAGTAAAAGTTATTGTCGCTTACAACGGCTCATGCTTCTCGGTGGATAAAGATGCAAGTTGGATTTTTTCAATATGTTGTTTTGTGTATGCGTCTAAAAGCATAATATATGTACAATTCAAATTACAGGTTCGATATATCCGGAGCATAGGAAACCCATCGAAAGCCTATATGCCATATCATTTTCAATCCACATCAGGATTCGAATACATACAAGAATTACCTGCAAATTTCGAATATTCGTATTATAGTCCAACTTATGACCAACATTTAGGAGCAATATTTCCCATAAATCAAATTGAATCTCTAAATTCTCGACGCTGTCTCGAATTCAACACTACAAAGAAAAGCGCCGTGACCATGAAATACTACGCAGACAAGCTACCTTATCGGCAAACTAATTACTGCTACAAACCTCATGGACAAAAAAATTTATATGAATATGATGATGTTTTCGAAATCAACCAATTTTTTTCCATCAGAGGTAATACATATATGAGGCGCGTCTCAATATGCCTCACCAGTTGCAAAAAACTTGGAAAATATCCTAATTGTTATTTTAATTATGCAATTATTAATTTATAGAGAAGAGGAAGGACCCCACGAAGCCTTATGGAAAACTGCCATCTGGGAGTGGGAAGAATGACGCCAAATGCGCCGCCATGTGCATCGGCAATGGGGTTGACCGTGGGGGGAATGAAACCACAAAAGGGCAGGACAGCACCGTTCCTCCAGATTACTTGGACCCCTTGAGAGATGATTACTTGATCATCGAACCAGTTAGCCCCTCTCCTGTTGGGGGTGGAAATTCCTCCGACTCAAATTCCACAAACTCGACAGATTCCACAGCGACTGGACCAAAAATGCGACTTGAATTTAAGTTATTTAATCATAAATCACTTCACGACTGTGATGGTACGACTCCAAAATATAACTTGACTACAAAAACAATCCGAGAAATTAATGAGCAAACCAAGCGAATGATTCTGGCCAATTTGGGATATTCCTTAAAAGGAATTTCTACACCCAAGGTCGGAGTGAATGACTATATTTTATTGCAAGTTTCGAGAAAAATTGTGCAAAGTGTGTGCCCCGACGAGGAAGTTCCACACACGGTCCTGACAGGACTGCTGAGAATGTTCCGAGTTGCGCTTAAAGAAAGTCTTCAATTTTATCCGTTTGAGGATAAAGATGAAAATAGAACATTGGCCATTTACGAAGGGTTGAAGACCTGTTTAAATAGTTCAAAGCCTTTTACTTTCAATTATGGCAATTCCTCAGATCCCGATGCTAAATGTCCCACTGCTGAGGTAAAATAGCTTTTTTCTAATCATTTATATGTATTTTATTGCTGCATAGATGTCCTAAAGCCCACACATATGTAGCATATTTTTTGATTGGTGGGTATGAATTGAGAATTTAAAATGAAACTTGATATGCTACCGACTTTTAGTTTCGGGATGTAAGCTATGAATATGGGGGAGGGAAACCCATAAATAGGACCATTCTCACGGATCTCCCGACCCAATTAAAGACAGATTTACAACAGTTGGATCTTCCGGTGGAGGTAGCGTGGAAAACTTATCTCTTGACCCAGTACTACTGCAGTCGGCATTTCACGTTTAATGCTTCAGAATACAGTTACTTTTACGACAAAATAGAAATGTTTTTCAATAGGTGGATACAACATAGATGGTGAGTTGAGATGCATGTACATGTATTGCGCACTTGCTTGTTAGCAGTAAATTATTCAGTCGAATTTATCAAGGTACTACCCTGGACCTTCACTCAAGGCTTATGCGTATGTGTTTCAAATGTATGACTTGAACAAGTTTTCTGAAAACTTGGACAAATGTGTTGGTGAGTAAAAATACTGTAAACAATGACCCTCAAAGACCAGTGAATGCAATTTGATCATATGTGCCCTTTTATTTTAGGGGCCTCGAGGAGCTTTTCTAATAATAGAAAATGGATCAAACGACCACGTTATGTTAAGCATTGTGGTGGAGCGTAAGTTATTCAGACACACTAAATGCACATGCTTATCTAACAATAAGTACATAATTAACCACTTCAACCCTAGGAGACGAGTTTTTTCATACCTTTCACCCCTAGTAACCGCGAATTTTTACCTCCCTTGACCCCGAAATTTTTATCTACTGCATGACGTTAATTCCTGGGCCATGAATTAAAAAATGGTGTTCCCACCGGAATTATTCTGGACACTTTTTTATGAAAATTGATGTGAATAACCTTTCAAGAAGGTATTTTGAGTTGTAATTTGCATTTTTGAGTTGTGGCGAACCACCAATTTTTATAGCCGAAAATAGCCAACACGCCGAATTTTAAAAATGATTGTAATTGCATGAAAAGTTAGACAAGCATGGAGTAATACTTGCATAATAGTACGTAAACTCGCAAATATTGATTATAGCGCATAAAGTGCCTTAGGAGCCGATTTTGGGCGGGAAAACCAAAAATCCTTACAATGACTTTAAATAGACAGCAATGACAATGAATAATTATCCCGTGAGAGGAAATTGCTCGAACATAGACTATGGCGCATCTGGTGAATAGAAATCAATTTTAAGCGGGAAAATTAAATTCTACTAATTCCTGGCAATCTCTCAATTTTTAATTTTCCCGCCCAAAAGATATTTCAGCGGCACCCGATACGTAATGATTAATTTTGACGTAGTTTACCCTACCGGCAAGATTATTTGTGGTATATAATTAAATCCATGCAATGATGCAATTCATCAAACTTTTAGTTTTCTCGCCCAAAACGCCCGTTTGTGCTACATGTGAGCAAAACAATTTCTCTAATCTTATCGTAAACCGTTGTTGAAATAAATCGGTGTCGAAATTTCCTTGCAAAAAACAGTTTTCACAACTCGGCGTGTTGGCTAGATATAGCCACTTGGCTATAAATTTATTTTGCATCCATTTCTAATATTATTTCCTAAGAGACAATTTATCTTCCCACCTAAAGGGCGGGTTGTTGACTCATAACTCTTGCTTTACTTTGCTTGGAGAGGCAATGACCTAATTTTTTCCGGATACGACACATAGTCGTAGGCCGGTGTGAACGGAAAATACGCCACATAGTCGTATCCGTTGTCAAGGGTCAATACGACACATCGTCGTATTCCGGTGCCAAGGGAACTTACGCCACATGGTCGTACTCGGCGTAAAGGTCAAATACGCCACATAGTCGTTATAGGGGTGAAGTGGTTAATGTGTGGGAGTGTTTACATGTGAAATATTAAATTGTGCTTAATAGGACATTTCAAACTGTGGATGACAAGAATCCGAAATCTAGCCAAAAACCAAAGTACGTCATATAAAATTATGTATACAGATAATTATGTATAGTTTTCCTATAGATAGTATGTACATGTAATATGTAGTATTTATTGTACCCACTTGTATTGCAATATGATTTTATGTATTTCAGATTGGACTTTATCACACCTGAGCTGACAGAGTTCAAACAAAAAGCGTACTGTCTCCCATTTTGGCATTCGCCATCGTCTAATCCTGGGATTAATTACGATCCTTCAAAGGAGGGAGGTGAGGGTTGTGTTCAGTATAAAAAATACGAATGGGAAGATGAAGTGACCCCCAACATTCTGGTTAATTGGAACAATAAAATCTGATTAATTAGTTTTCAATTCGCACTAAATAAAGTAATTAACATTTTAAAGCAAATTGAAAATACATACTCCTGATTTTTGCATGCATTTGCATGCATTCTTTCATGAATTGAGTTGAGCTGTCAACAAATTGGGGACATTTTTCGTACTACAAACCTTCAAATGTTGCAATGGAAATTCTCTGTGGTCAAGTTTTGTCACTTTTTGGTCACAATATCGTCAATAATGCGGATAAAGTGCGCTTCTGTATTTTCCGCCAGTTGAGATACTCTAAATACAACGCTAATTATTTATATTGATTCACAGCATGGTTCATTTATTTATTTGCCTTCATTATGCATTTTGTTCATTTCATCCTCATTTATCAACCAAAAGTATTCATGCATTTATCAATTATACATTTATCATTTAGACATTACATAGGATTTGGACAGAGGTTTATTTTTGGAAAAAATTTAGTCCTGTAATTTACGTAAATATACGGCATAAAAAGTTACCCGGGACATGGAAAAAGTGGTGTCGGCACACCCACTTCTTCTCTACACGGTATGTGAGATTTAATATATTTACAAATGCATTGATGGCATGAAATACATAGATCGCCAACTAAATATATATACTTACAAGTCTGCTTATGTGAAAGGTGCTCAGAAGAATTTTGTCTCATCTCACATTTAAAGACATTCTGTCTATGCGACAAGTTTGCTCAGAATGGATGATTGAAGCGGATCATAAACTAAAGGACAAAGTTTCAGTTAAAATCTTTTGTCTGGATCAGTTGAAACGATTTGTAAATGAAATATCTGAAGATGGTATATACATTGTATCGCATTATCACATTGAAGGCTTAAATTTGAACCGAATAGAAGCTTCCAACTTTTTAAATAAGTTTGGACCCACAATCACAAGTCTGAGCATAAACTTTTGCGATTGGAAAAGTACAACATTCCGGATTTCTTTGTTCAAGAAACTTCCAAACTTGACGAGCCTGGAGGTCTCGTCCAAAAAGAATTGTGGTCAATTGTTGGAATGCTTGATGCCAATGAATTGCTTACCCTATGGCTCATTTGTCCATTTGAATAATATGAGGGAGCTAAGAATACAAGGGGATTTCTCAAACAGAACAGACTTATTTTATGATATACTCAAATCGTCACCAAACTTGAGAATAATCCATTTGTCAAAATATCACCAGGATAACGACGACCTTTTTGGGACGTGGTTTGTTGAGATTATACTTTCCTGTCAATTTTCTCATCTCTCCAGTCTTGAAGTAGAATGCACCTTAATTCAACAGCAGGTTGACTTACTCTCAGAAAAGGCATACCCATTAAGGCGTCTTTCTATTGATTTGGAAATGGATGCGGTTGACAACAAGTCCATTGACAAAATTCTGGGACACTTTCCCTTACTCGAAAGTGTAGAAATAGGTGTTGACAATGTCCCACCTTCCACTTTTCGGAATTGGAAACATATTCATAGCTGTAGTACTATTCAGAATGGAAATCGCGTCAAAGTAATGTTTCCAAAACATGCAAGCAATAATAACAATGTCCTTGAACCATAAATATTTTATTTTTTGTATGCATACGTCACATGAATGCGTATTTAGTTATATTACGAGATTAAACAAATATGCAAATAAAAACGCTTGGATAAATTTAATAATCTTATTTATTTACTAACATGTATATGTAGAATACCAACAAAACCGAAAACATCGCTATGTCATAAATAAATATGTACAAACCAATTTGTCGAGGGCATTAGTGCATGTCACTATCTACCGCATACAGTTCTAACATGGCTTCAATTTCCTCATCCGTCAGCTTGATGATATTGTCATACTTATTAATTTTATGATTACTGTAACTGCTACTAGAATTTTTTGCAGTGGTCGTAACGACCTTTGTGACACTACTACTACCGCCATTAACACTATTACCAGAAATCCCGGTACTGGTTGAATTTCTATTTCGTTCAACGTTCGAGACTACGTTTTGTAGCACGGTAAATGCATTGCTAGCTGAAATGTACAAGGTATTCATCACTTCAGCAAATGCTAAAATATGATTAATTTTTGTTATTACTGAATTTATCTTAATTAAGATGGTAATAAGTTTGTCAAAAGGTGCCAAAATGGAATTAAGTTTAGTTAGCAAAGCTTCGAATTTACTAAAGACAGTTACAATGGTGCTAATACTTCCCAAAGTTTGTTGTGAAGGGAGGCTTCTAGAAGTTGCTGAATAATTTGATGAGAAAGAAGCTACTTGAGCATTTGCTGCTATATTACCTAATGCGGATTCTACTTGTTCCCTAAAGGGTTGGTTCCAGGATGAAAAAAAATTTTGTTGCGACAAACTCCTATCCTGCCAGACATGACCAAATCATTGGGTTTACAAGCCCAGATTGGGACTGGTCCTACTGCGATGCAAACATCACCATTCCACTGCCAATTTCCCAATTTAGGACATGGATTCTCTTTCTCCGTAGTATTTTTTTTATGATTTGTGACATCATCAGACTTTGCAGATTTAGGTCCGTTATATGAGGAATACTTTGCCTCCCCATCACCGTAAGTATCTACATACTGAGGATGCTCCTCATCCGACTTTCTCGCTTGTGCAAACTGGGGAGGTATAAAATTGAAGGAATTTTGGGGGAAGGACGAAGGCAAAGAGGAGTATCCTCCACTACCACTACTTGAGTATTGTCCCCCTGGGAATGGAAGTTGAAGTTGGTCTTCCTCGTTACTGCTACCGTATCCAAAAAAGTCTAGAATTGGTTGGTAAAAGGGAGCCGAAGTAGTGGTTTGTCCTGGCAAAGGGGAAAAGGGATAGGGCAGTTGGGGCATAGCAGAATTTTTGTACGGATTTGAAATGTAATTCGGGTTAGGATAACCACTTTGGTGAGAGTACCGGACTCCGTTGGGTGGTGGTGCGACCTGCTGAGGTGTGTTTACAGAATCTGCAGGGAGGTAATTGTCCTCGTCGTTGGACAAGTACGGACTGTCAGCGTAGCTTGCTTGTGGCTGTTGTTGGTTGTACTGATACTGGGAATAGCTGGATGGGGAATTCTGACTAAGACTGATGGATGGTTGGGGTGGACCAGTGACACTGTTAATGATTGCCTCGTCAACTTCTTCCGGGTTGGATGACGTGTATGAGGACGAAAGCCAAGGGAACCTGCAATATTACATCAACCTCTGTTAATAGGAAATTTGAACTGAGGATACAAAAATGTCAATCTTGATTGTTTGCTTACCAATTTTCCATAAAACTTGGAGCAGTTGTGGTTGTCGTCGGAGGGTCTACGTATAGTTTCCCGTTAACAATGCTGTAAGACATTTGGTAATTATTATTATTCTGGCCACAGATAAGATGTGGAAGAATAATAGTCATTGCACAAATGATGACAAAGGAGCGTTGGTAAATCTGCAAAAATTAAACAAGGTATAATATGAGACTAATAAGACTTTGCGAGAATGAGACGCTGTGAGAAATATGAGAAACGAGTGAACAAAGTGTGTATACACTTACCATCGTGAAATACAAGCACGATATCAAATACTACTTATCAAAACAAATTGGTGCGGAGGACGCTGGACTGAAACTGTCGACAAGTTTGAGCACACTGAAATGAAAATTGGTCAGCAGGGTAGTAGTGAACAACAAAGATCAGAATCCAGTTCAAGAGTGATATAGGTGATGAATCCAGTTATGTCTATTTTCGGTCTGTTCATGTCCAACCCTTTCCCTGCGTGGGTTATGCCAACACGTACCGCAAAACAATAAGTGCCACTTCGCACACGGAACCCTTAATATTGCTTTTACAAGTGTCCAAGTGCCGATATAATGGAATGTCAACTCGAATGTAGGTCTTGGACCGAAATAACTTTCATCATGCAATCTACTTCCTAGATACACAAAATATTTATTGGGCTTCATTTTGAAGATTGTACCATATTTTAACCGTTGGGTTAGATTTAGTTGGTAGTACACCTCTCTCTCTCTCTCCCTCTTTGTATGTATCCGCATCATTTACCATTTTTATGATGCAACTAGCATATTCTGTGTTATGACGAAAATAGATTTGTTATACTATTTACAAGAGGATATATCTGAATGAAATTCCAATTGATTCGAATTGGGTGGGAATCCATATAGAGTTAGTTAATACTTGATGATGCGGCATTGACACTTTCGCTTCTTGTTAACCTTCAATAGCTCTAGACGCGTTAATTTGGCTCCAGTCAGCAACAAGAGATTAAATTTAAAAAGTGAAAACTTGATTTCCATTCACAACAAACATCTCAATCATCATACTTAAACCCACCATTTGTCACGTATTTCCAAAAAGGCGTCTCGCTCGAGTTCGTGACTCGTGCATTATTATTATTATAACCCAGACATTGGAAATTATATGACCTAACCAAACTAGTCAACGTCAACAATGAGCAAAGGACTTAGATACGGTATAATTATTTTTATTGTGTATTCACCACCCACTAGCTTATTATCTAATCCAGAGTTGAATATTAATTTTGTTTCATAACGTATAAAATTTCATTAAGATTTTCGACAAAAACATACAAGACATGAATTTTGAATTCACTTGAATAATGTAAACAACACACAATGAAATCAGAAATTGACTCCCATTTACAAATTATCCAGATAGTCTTTAACTTCTCCAGTACTCAAACGGCGGAATCCACCATCCTTTGTGACGATTCCGATTTCTATGTTCTCAGCAGTCATTTGTCCCTCAAAACTTTCTTTGAGAGCCAGAATGGCCGTGTGAATGGCATCTTCTAACTCAATATCATTCTTATACCTGCCGCATTCAGTAATCACCCACATAAAAGAAAAATAATAAATTATCAGTCAGGATATTTTGAATAGAAAATTAATTATCAAGATTAATAGTTTTCTTTTATCATGTATGTGTGCATATTATATACGTGTGTGTACCGTTTTTCAAGGAAAGTCTTGCCGCTGATGAAATTCTTTCCCATTGCTGTAGCCTTCCATGGAAAATATGCGCCAGAAGGATCACACTGGACCAAGTAGGGCTTCCCATCATCCCAACCACAAATCAACAAGGACACGCCGAAAGGACGAACGCCGCCGGACTGTGTATACTCTTGCATCACTGCCGCAACTCGCTGGACCAATTGAACCGTGGGGATTCGTTCTCCATACGCCATTCTGTAACATTTGAAATATGAATAAAATATATTTGCCTGTCAACGTTATTAGTCAAAGTCATAAGCACAATAAATAACGAATTAATAACTATAGGTTTATTTATACTTGTAAGCTTGTGCTGCTTTCCTAGCGCTCTTGACCAGCAATCGGTAGTCGGGTCCCATTCCCGAGTAGCACATTCCAATGTACTCGTTGATGGTTTCAATCTTCCAGACACTGGTCCCATCATAGAGCATAGATTTATGCTTCTTCTCCGTAGCCAGTACCACACCATTCGTCGCTTTAATACCGACCGTGGGGGCGCCGGATGCCACTGCGGCAAGGGCATATTCAATCTGTACCAGTTTTCCCGATGGGCTGAACGTGGTCAAGGAAAAGCTGTAGCGTTCAGACGTTCCAGCCATTGTGATCTTGTTATAAAACAGGAATTAAATCAATGAGCAACGATGAGTTGTGAAATGATAAAAATTCAAACAATGAACAAATTATTTCAGCTTTCATGTGTCGCTCACTAAATAGGTTAGAATGAATACTAATTCTTACCTCTAGTAGTAGTAGATATTTCGCTGGAAATTGATTTTATTTTTTCTTGAAAACTGGGCACGAAACAAAATCTATTTTGTTGACCGGCGGAAGAGAGATGTGATGCAGTTTGTATAATAAGAATGACACTCAGAATTTAAAGTTCCTTGCCGTGTTCGTGGGGAATTTGAGAGGCAAAACTCGCACATCGAGCTACAAAAAACCAAACCAAATCAACATACCGCATATTATGATGGGCGACTCGTATATTTGCACACATTCGCCACCCGACTGTGTACTAAGCAAGAGTAGAGATTCATTCATTCTCTGATGTGCAAAAAGTGTGTTGTAATTTGTAATGCAAATACAAAATAACAATTCTCCCCATCTGATCATCGTTTTTACAAGTGAATGACTGACCCGATTCATCTCCCCCAGTTGTTATTTTTTAATAAAATTTGCACAATCTTAATTTTCCATTGTAAAAAATTTGGTGTGTCGGTGTGTGACTGACATTTCGTCAATGTGTGCAATTAATTATACTAACTAGTATTATCAATCAGTCGATTGATTGCTAATATCTAAGGGGAATATAACATAAACAAGGACACATAGTTGATCAAGATAGCCGATAACCTTTGACACACAGTAGCCTATATGTTCTTGCCTCTCTGCAGTGGTAAATATTTAGCAGGAGAGACACTGCTTAATACTTACAGTTTACACACAACTGCTGCTTGTGTAGATGTAATATAATCAATCCTCAATAAAATTCATCATCATCAACTTTGCTCAACACCAATTCATTAATTTTGTAATGCCATTCTCAAACCCTGAAAATCAGTCCGTGAGTTACAAGGAGTGGACGTACTAATATCTAATAAATATCAATTCGTTTCGAAACCACAAGTTTCCAGATTCCTCTAGGATAAGAGAACTTATAAGAGAAAGCAACATACCCATCATTCTCGTCGCATTTAACTTCAAGGTATTCGAAAGTTTCAATATATTATGTGCATAAACACGCTAAAATATTGTTAATGCATTGTGGCCTATGCATGTGCTATTAGATTTAAGCCATAATTCCGTAATGTCAAAAGCATATTAAACTTACATAAAATCAATACCCAACAAACTCGTAATATAATCCCTTAAATTCATTATACTTTTTTAATATTTTAATATAATATCCGACTTTTTGATACCTGTCGCATCATTATTCTCTTCATTCTCTAATACTTGTCTCATCCTCATTCTCTTTTATTGTGTTTAAATAGCTGTTTGTGGTATTGCATGGCGTAGCCCTCATTAAATGTCGAGTTACTATTTTTTCTCGTGGTTACTACTCCATACATACAACAATGAACAAAGTATCTCCACTAAAAAAGTATCCAGCGGCACATTAGCATATTGTAGTACTTACTTTTTTCTATAGTTTGTGCAACATTACATTAATTCTTCGTTCAGAGTAAATTAGTATTGCCCAGCATATATACATATGTATGTAGCTGCAGTAAATAATAGCCCAGCATGCACTGACGCCCCAGGGACTGCGTATTAATAATTCCGTTTGACTTTCATTTATTCAATTCACGTCAGCGATGAAACAACCATTTTATTTTTTTGTAATAAGAATGAGAATTAGAATTTCAATGGAGTTTACCATGTGCAGATATATGCATTTGGCGATGAGTTCATGTATACAAAGTCGATATACATATATTAGCTGCAAACCAGTTTACTATGAGCAAAAAGATTCTTTCAATGTTCTTCAATTGTGAATGTGCAAGCAGTACATATCAATCGATCTTTCGCTAGTTGAATGCATTTTGCTGCAATGATACAATGTCTGAAAGCCTATTTTTTTATCAAAGAGTTTTCACCAAGGAGAAAGACCAGCAATCAGATCGATATTTGGCCCACTGCTGCTCATGCATGCTTATTAGTCCATGCTAACAACTACAATTTTCCTATTTGTTCGTGGCCAATTGTACTGAAAGAACGCAAGAAAGACTCGGTTCTAAAGAAGATATATCCATTCAACCATTACATATATATTTGGCTTTGATATTGTTACGTAGTAGTTCTGAGGCAGTGTGTAATAGTCACTCATGTATGTCCATTTAATCCGAATGAAGAAGCCTGGGAAAGCCAAGGCCTGCTGGCGTGTTGGTCGACACTTTCTCATGAAATGTTCTCTTTATTCCGGCTTTAAATGTTTCGGCTCACACAATTGTGCACATGGTCCAAAATAAAATACACTGCTGAGACTGCAGTACCTACTTTCTCCGAGTAGTAGCAATGTGAACACGGAGTGAGATTAGGTTCAGGGAGTAAGCCGAATAAGCCTATCATGGGTGATGCATCACAAATCCATACGATAAACAGAACACATCATTTCATTTCTCCCGTGCATGGTTCCTGAATCAATGACGATTTATTTTGTTCGTGACGAGAGGCATTTGCAAGAAATCAAGTTCATGTGGGGCGTGGTGGTTCCTTTTAGTGAAATTACGCATCTTGTCTGATCCCATCATACATACATATACATTTTCCATCCCTGCCCATTTAAATCCACATATTTAGATATATTGGCATTGGCATAACGTATTAGCTTTAAAATAGGGGTCAAAAGTTACGATTGTGGGATTTTATTGATTACGGGAGCAGTAGCACCATCATCAATTTCTGTAAAGTTGCCTAAATCGAAGGAGAAAAGCGAGCATTGTTATAAATAGATATCAATGGATGTAATTACACTAGTTCCACAATGCTTACGCTTTTGGCATGATCAATTATTGATACTGTTGCTGCCACTGCCACTTTTGACTTTTGTCATTTAATGATTATTGACCGCAATCCTTTTCTTATTTCCAGTATGCCTCAGCAGAAAAATGAGATAATAATTATTTCGACTTTCTCTTGACTGTCGAGTTTACTGGATTTAGACGACGACGATTTTATCGCAAATTAATTATTTAAAACTTGCTGCCGGACTTCTATACATAGCGAGTGAGTTTATTAACATTGAGCACAGGTATCATTGTTGGAGAAATTGTGGAAAATTGCCTTATCAAGAAACATACATATAAAATTGAGAAGAAAATCAACACATCTCTCTTACTTACTTAACGAATAGAACAAGTGACTGACTACCATCATCTGAAATAAGTTCGGGGACACTCACTTTGGCGAATCAATCAACTCAACTTTAGTGAACCCCATCATACATCTCAATCCAACCCAACTCGGTTATATAATATTCCTTCGTTTCGTATTATTAGCTGTCCGAATGTTGCTCCTTGCGAAGTTGCGACTCAATCAATCAGCTCTAGTGGCGTTTCGGAAGTGCGACTGTGACACTGCTGGCAGCTCTGGAATTGGATCTTAATATTTTACTTGTTGGCGAATTGTGCTCCTTCTCAGTCAGTGAATCACTTGCTCGAAAAATTTCGTCAAGTGGGTTTACACACCGTGGCGACCTTTCTATCGGAAATATTACTCAGAGGAAAATCGAACAGACGTGAGGACAAGATCCTTTTCTCGTTAAAATGGTTCAAAAGTACCAATCCCCCGTCAGGGTCTACAAGTACTCCTTCGAACTGGTCATGGAGGTAAGTTAATCCCCATTTACTCTTACTGCGTGCATTGGATAGAGTTTCATGTATTTTGAAATTTAAGCTCAATAATTTTGCCCACTATAAAAATAAAAAATGGTCTCATCGCACATAAAAATTATACTTTATACTTTGATGGTAAGAAACGACATCACATCCTTTGAATAGATATCCAGTTTATGTTAAATCATAGTAATGATTTTAAATTGGCACTCATATCCCACTATTATTAACGCGATATGGCAATGTTGTTTGGATCTGTGTATTTCTGTTGGTTGTTGTTGTGTTTAAAATGATGGCAATGATTGACCTGACCTCGTACATGAACGTGAATTACGCAGCCTTCCACTATCAATAGATTGAGCGTGCATATATGAATAGTCACATTTATTACAATCAATTATCTCAAGTTTCTTTGCCTTCTGATCAAGTTTGCCAATTAAATATCACAACATTTTTATGACCTGCCTGTAGTTTGCTAAATTTGGAAACTTTATTTCGTCGTGAATGGTCAATTTATTCATACAGAGAGCCAGTGAATTCTTGTCTAGATTTTATAGGGACAAACCGGAATAACGCGAAATTACATATGTGTGTATGACATGCATAACGGGTGTTAAATACAAATTTTGTTTTACGACAGGCGTATGAACGGCGGTTTCCAACCTGTGATATGGTACGTAATTTATTAAATACATATCAATTTAGAGTGTGTTAGATGTCAGCAAATGGAAGTCGTACACCAAGCTTAAGCTATAATTTCAGTTAATTCATATGTTTGCGCAACAGTTCTAAAACACAGTATCAATCTAATATCATTTGTCTCGAATCGTCTAAAATTTCTTAAGATTAGTTTCGCTAAATCTGTTGTGTAAATATTAATTTTATATATGCTGGTTAACAAATAAGTTCCTTGTGTGCAGATACCCGTATTTGTTGGCTCAGACATTCTTGAAGATACAGAATCCGATGATGGATCTCAACACGTTGTAGAGCGACGTTGCAAGTTAAATATCGAAGCACCTTATTTGCTCAAGGTTCGTGTGTACATAATAGGACATTATTTATTAACAATATCGTAATATCGACATCTGAAATTTTATTCCAGAAAATCGCAGGAGTGGATTTAGTATACTTTATACAGAAAAATACCCTGGATCGTAAGAATAGATCCCTTAAAATTGAAGCTTTTAACGAAAGTTTTGATACTCGTCTCGTTGTTCACGAAGTTTGCAATTACTTTGTAAGTTCTGTCCTTGCTTCTCAAACATAAATGAATATACTTCATAAATAAAAGTTGACTATTATTGTAGGTGCATCCTGAGAATGCAAGTTGGACTTGTTTCGATCAGGTAAGTTTATTTTTCGCAAGTTATGTCGTCGACACTACATTAATAAGCAACGGTTTTTAATTACCACAGAGCGCTAGTCTAGAGGTAAAGTCCTTCTTTGGCTTTGAAGGCGTTGTCGAGAAGATTGCCGTAAAGCAATACTCAGCCAATATTGCTAAGGTTTGTGCGTACATTTTTCCTTTCTGGAAAATAGTTTTTATTCCGTAATCATCGAGTCTTAGCTTATGTCGAGTTTTATATTGAAATTTTCAGGGTAAAGAAATCATCGAATATTTCATCGAAGGTAAAAATCCTACTCTGTCTGCTCACTGATTTGTAGACGACGAAAAGGGTTTCACCGTGTTACTACTTGCAATTTTGCATTTTCAGAGCTAAAGAATGAAGGCATTACTAGCCTGCCGGTTTGGACTCCTAAAGAGATAACTCAATCTCAGGGAAAAGTAGAAGGTGGAAATGAAGCTACTGTTGAAAGGTATGGTTTTGTATACATGGATTTCATAGATAGATTTTATAACAAGAAATTCATGTTTAAGAGAGTTGTAGAGTACACATTTTTGACATATACTAATTCCATTATTGAAGAATATCACCTCGTGTTTGATATGTATGGATACTTCGTTAGCAAATGTCAAAAGTTACCCGTCTTTTATATGAATTCACTGTGTTAGAATCACAATGGAAGGTCATCCTTACTCATGCATACACGAGTTGATTAAATAATACTTTTGTATTCTCAGGGATGCCGAGGACAGTAAAGCAAACATAAGTGACGAAGCTTCTTCTAGCCAGACCATAGTAACTGCCAGGAGACCTTCAAAAACGTTAGAAGATTTAAAACTTGGAGCATCTGCTTCAAGCCTAAAATCTCAGCATTCTAATCTTAGCAGGCAGCTATCGGGTGACAAATCTGCCGGAAGCAGTGTAGTAGGAGGAGGTCAACCAGGGATTCCTGCTATTCGTTGTGACTCCTTTTCAGAAGACGATGACAAATATCGCCTAGATGCTGATTATATCCAAAGATATTTAGGCGACCTCTCACCATTAGAAGGCAATAATGATAACGCTATTTCTAACTAGAGCTAATGGCTATCACATACTAATAATGGATATTATATTGTCCTATAGAGTCGCAGCTCATTCAACTAAGAACCTGGGTAGCTCATCTACAAAAGGGAAAGGTTAGAAGAGATGAACATACATATACGATGATACCTTCATTAATGCAATGTAGCGTCATCGGTAATATTTATTTATTTCAGATGCCGAGTGATGCAATACTTCTTAGATTTCTTCGGGCTCGAGAATTTAACATTGAGAAAGCAAGAGAAATGTTATCACAATCGCTAACCTGGGTATGTAATGATTTATTAATCTCCGAAATAAGTACACACATCATAGATGTAGAAAATGTGGTGCCAAATACATACATACGACGTTTACATTATTACATTTATTTTTTAACAGAGGAAAAAATTTCAATTAGACAAAATATTGTCTGAATATGAGGCCCCTGAAGTTATTAAAAATTACTTCCCGGGTTGCTGGCATAATTGGGATAAAGGTATATTGGCTAAGCTATAAAGTGACTGTCCAATTGAATCAATATCCTAATTGCAATATCGTTGTGAAAAACAGATGGCCGCCCATTATTTGTGCTGCGGTTAGGTGTTATGGATGTAAAAGGGTTGATGAAAACCGTCGGAGAAGAAGGTATGAAATTATGATAATCGAAATTGTAGAATGTACACAAGTATTATTTTGCATTTTCTAAGATTAAGTATCAAACTTTTTTCAGGCCTTCTTCGGCTGACACTTCACATCTGTGAAGAAGGGTTAAGGTTAACAGAAGAAGCTACAGTGCAGTCTGGTTATCCCATAACGACTTGGACGCTACTTTTGGATTTAGAAGGACTAAACATGAGGCACTTGTGGACGCCCGGTAATCACTTTATTGCCTAATTAATTTATGCAATTATAATTATTTTAATTTTTTAAACTAGGTATAAAAACTCTGCTGAGGATAATTGAAATTGTAGAAGGTACGTAAGTATTATTTTACATTTTCTAATAGATTAAGTAGCAAAATTTTTTGAGGACTAGTCGAACTAATAATAATTAAATACTTACACAGCAAATTATCCAGAGACGATGGGTCGAGTCTTAATTATTCGTGCTCCACGTGTGTTTCCTATCCTCTGGACCATTGTCGGTGCATTTATAGGTTTGAAATATTAAAATGAATTTCGAGTTTGCACGCATGTGTATATTTATAATATACGGTGACCTGTTTAATTCCAGATGAACGGACGTGTTTAAAATTTGTATTTTATGGAGAAGGACCTGGGGATTTTCCAGACTCAATTCCAGAAGATTACATTCCATCATTTTTGGGGGGTAAATGCAAAGTAAGTTAATTGAATTCATTCACTGTATTTAAGGGAGAGACCTATCTTAATAAATTTGTATCGTGATAAATTATTAGACAGAAATTCCGGAAGGTGGTTTGGTCCCAAAAACGTGCTATATGCCTGAAGAACAATTTTTGAAACACTTGACCCTGTCAGAAGAAAGCATATACAAGTGTGTAAATTTATCCCGTGGACAGGTATGCATATTTATAAGAATAAGTATTTAGTGAGTGGTGAAAATTATATTTAATATATGTTTTTCAATAATCTATTGTTAGGTACATGAGCTAGTAATTCAAAACGACGATCTTGGTAGCGTTATCACTTGGGATTTTGACGTACTACTTTCGAAAAATGTGTAAGTGTTGTGGTTTGTGTTTATAGTCCCATCTAGTAAAGTCTAGAACAAGTCTATATGGTTTACGACATCCTCGTGACTAATAATGTATGGTATGTCCATAATACAGCCATGGAGTTTGCTTCTCAATTTTTCGAACTACGAATTCTCTTCCGGCAATGGTGCCATCGCCAACGGGCGCTCTTCAGGTCAAACCAAATTGTCCTCCTATATCTGAGAATACGGAGCACAAGTCCGTGATCGAGAAAGCTTGGAAAGAAGGTCATGATTTTTTCAGAGTGGAGTCATCAACTGTTTGCCACGACGGAGAATCCGTTCAGGTATTTTTAGCATGATCTAATGTTTCAATGACTATTTAACTAAAGAAAAAACATTGGTCTGTTAAAGTAACGTGACATATTGATTTATTTTTTCCAGGGATCCCATGTTACGAATCAAACAGGCTTCTATATTATGCAATGGAAATTCTTTGATCCAAATCCAACTTCTGGGCATCATATTATGGATTCATTGACAGTTCCAAAAGCGAAAGTTATGTATTACTTCGAAGTTTTAAAATCTGCCGATTACCGGTTAGTCTTATACTTGTTAGTTAAAGAAACAAAATGATCAAAATTCAGTACAGTTATACAATGCATTTATATTTCAGAGGGTCAATGACATCACTTCAGTCCCAAAAAAGCTGTCTGTCTTCATTAAGTTCTGCATCGAAGGCCAACGGTTCCACTGTGGAAGGTTCTTCAGATAAATCATGTCTTAGCGCTGGTCTTAGCACATGTCCGTCGAGATGAATGTAGTAGACTTTTTCAGTTAATCGTTACAAAGTACGCGTTTTTTACGCTTATTCTTGGGTAGGCACAATTTTGATTTCATCTATTGAGTCTCATTTGACTAGTTTTTATACAACGGATATGCATTCCGATCGGACTGTATTATGTTATTATTAAGTTCTATTGTGCATACATATACGACAGTTTTGATGAGTCGTGTCACAAAAATATATGATGCAATTTCATCACGGGAACATTTTTTGAGATTGTGACAAGCATTACAAGATGCTTCTACAAATATTTTATGAAAAGAGATTAAGATTCACATGTTTTATTGTTTATTATTATAAGACTTACAGAAAGCCTTCACTTGTAGTATGTGATTGATTTAAATGCTTCTTCCAAAAATACCTTCCGATTAGTCACTTACTAAAAATGATGTATTGTTGCAATTAGTGAACCAGTCAGAGAGATATTAAGCATAGTCTACGTATATTTTTAATGTTAGTGGCTAAGTTAAACAACCAGGTAATATTAAAATTGCTTAATGACTGACACGTGCATTCCCATCGGAAGACTCAAACTAATAAGATATTGGTGCTATACACGTAACGCATTACCAGTTTTGCTTTATCCGTTATTCATATGTAACTCCATCAATTCAAAAGAGTTACCTATAATGTAGTAATGTTTTTTGGCATGCCATCATCGCCTTAAGTACATCTGAATGTTCTTATTGGAGATACACAAATACGTTGTAGCATTTAGCGAGGATAATAAATATATTAACGATACTTCCTATTACTGTTATAATTACATATTTATTATGTAGATGTACGAACTTTGCCCGAGTAATCTCTCAATAACTGACGTGTGATAATATATTTGAGCCTCGAGAAAATTACGAACCTCTGCTTTATGTACAGTTATAATAAAAATATGCCCTCAGTCACTTAAAATGACAGTAGCCAAGATCTACCTAGTTCCCGAGCAGAGATGCTAAAATGTTCTAGTATTTCTTACATTTTTCTGTTAATTTTTGCATATAATATATGTGCTTGTAAGTATTTAAGTAATAACCTTTGATAGATATTAAATAACATCATTATTATAGAATTTTAGCAATTGAGATTTGTTCTGATTGATTGATGTATGTAATACGTACATATCTAAACTTTTTAATAAGGAGGCTATTGAGTAGCAGACTCCTTCAGTAATTCGCTGTCAAGTAAAAACTAAATCAAAATCGTGAACTAACCAATGATGTTAGCGTGTAGGTTAAAACTAACCAGATGCTGCTGGTCTCTTGTCTAAGGACAAGTTGTTCTGTTTTATTTTGCAAAACTTTAATTTCGCAATAAAGTGCCACTATTTGTGAAACTACAAACTATGCGTGAATATTATTAACACATTTATGTGTAATTTTTTTAGTTGGTAAAAGAAAGGAGGAGATGCATAACTCGAAATGGTTTTCACTGACTCATTTTTATTACAAATTTCATCTTCAGTGTAGCGTCAAATGACATCGTTTTATTTAATTCTAAGTATTTCAAGGATTACAGCTACGCAAGATATAAGTATGAATTTTCATTTTCAAAATATTACCAATAGAGCATGTGTTACACGTAATAATTTTTCCTTGTCCATTTTCTCCATTGCTCAGAATATTAGTAATATAATAACGAAGGAGAACAGTAATCGGAAAACTTCAATTCGACATGAATTTATTTTTCAGGAAAATAAATATAAACAAACCAATGATGGATGATGGAAAGGTACATTTCTATCAATTTCCCGATTTTATTTATTTTTTAAATACCTATCAATTACGAATAGTCCAACAAACAACTAAAAAATGGGAATATTACATTTGACAAGTTGACTAGAAATCTGTCTGAAACGTTTCATACATATCTCATCATAGTGAGTTAAACAAGATTTTGTGTGACATTCTTTTTACTTATTGGTGAAAATACGAGTGAAAGTTGTATAACTTTAACAAGACTTGTGACACAAATTACAGATAACAACAATATTCTTAAAGTAGGACAAAGTTAAGGGCGAATATATTGCTTTGTTTATTGAGGGTAAGTTTAGGATTCCAAAGTCGTCTTTTGTATTTACTTCAGCCGCAATTTAGTACATTTGCGACTTTGCTATATATCACAAGAACAGTAACTTACTTATTTAATGTGCAAGTTATTCCATTGCATATCATACCGATATTCTAGGAGCTAGGTCATAAATGTCCACATAAAACTCTTACTTTGTGATACACATATTATGGGAAAAGGTATACAATAGATTGCGAATGCGCATAATATATTTTATCCTAAGATTGATCATCAAGTTTTCTCGTTCCCGAAAAAGAGAACATTTTGCAAGTCAACGAGCACATTTATTTCTACACATACGCGTATATGACAAAAACTAGAAAAATATGTGAGTCAAATTAATTGTACTGTACATATGTACAGGTTCTTATTATTAACGAGCAACTGTTACAAAACACTAAAAGTACACGTGCTATATAATAATAGCTGTCATATTATGCCGAGGATAATATGTTCGTATCACACTACTTGCTAAAATATAAGTCTATTCTCAGTTCTCTATACTAATGTACGTACATAATATGTAAATTGGTTACTTACAAGTTTGAAATAGTGGAATAGCATATAACAAAGAGGCAAAAAGAGCTAGTACCTTAATTGCTACAATTCAGTAATTGGAATGGGTTTTACAGGCTGGTGTTGGTGGAGGGCGTAATGAATTGGCAAATTATGGTCAATTTGCTGACTGTGATTATGAAGATGTGGATAGTTGATCGAATTTATGGGGGCGTCGTATTCATTCGAGTAATTAGGCGAGGCGTAGTTGTTGGGACTGCTCTTGTAGTGATGAGATGGGTGGTGAAGACTATGGCTATTAAAACTATTAGAGTTATACGGGTAATTTAGGCTGTTCATTGTCACTGGGTTTAGTGTGTGGCTGGAGTGCATGTTATAATTGTTTCCCCCATTTGCCCCAGGACCAGGACTTCCACTCGACATTAGGGATGCCCGTACTTGAAAAGAAGAACAGTTTTCATTAGTATTATGATTGTGCTGAGTAGCAGATGAGGTAATACAAATAGTTTACATAATTTGCCACAATGCATTGATTGTCACTTGCTCAACACTACAAGGATTAGTTAGTTGCTTACCTGTGAAGTCGTCGTCCGAGAAAGGGTATGGGCTTTGATTGCTGAGAAAGGACGTTTTTGTAGCAGTATCCAGTTCTTTTCCACAGGAAGAAATGACGGAGCTCCGCTTTCTTCGAGAGGGTCGACGGAAGCCACGTTTGCAGGTTCCCTTGATGTTCTCGTGGTAGCGGTACAGCAGGAAAAATATGATCACCAAGATGATGATCGTCACAGTAATGGCAACCCCCAATATCGTCTTTTGAATAGGACTCTGCGGATGATAAACGGATATAAGCACATGTGTATGCATCGTAATGTGTATGCTAATTCCAGCCAATATTGACAGCTTACCTGAAGATAACAGTTTAGATCTTGTGATGAAAGGGATGTCAGCTTCTTATCTCGGAGGTTACCAGGCTCCGCACACAGGACGAACGATGACGAGTTTTTGAATTTCTCATCCGAAAGCAAGTCTCGAAGCCAGAATAGTTCACAAACACACAAAAAGGGGTTTCCTTCCAGGTGAAGAGATTTAAGACTTTGCCAAGATACGATGTCCTCTGGAACATCTTGCAGTGCATTATCCTTGGGGAAAAAATTTATAAAAATGTTAAGATAATCGTCTACTTTCCTCTTGCCTCATTTCCAATGCAAGGGATTTATTCAAGTGTAAGCGATAAATATGTGAGAAAAGAAGAGTACATGGACGATCAGCAGGAGTCGAGGAACATCAATCATTTACGTTTCCCAAATGTGGTTTCAAAAGATTGAAGATGGAAATGATGTTCCGGAAACGTGAATCTTTACATTGGTGGTTATGCACCTATCGAGTCTGGTTCATTTCTGCTGCTTTGGGAGAAAGGGAGAAAATCATCTCTGGCGTGCTTTCGCTAAGGTACTTCTCAACATAAGGATCTGTCTGCATAAAAGTGACAGCTTCTCCGTTTCCCATCTGTCTGCTCAAGTATTCAGTTACCTCAAGAAGAGTGCATTTCACACGATAAATTGAACTAAGGTCTTAAAGAATCAAATGTTGGTAAAGGCAGAATTCATACCTAGTTTACATTTAAGAGAAAGTGATAAGCTGACACGTTTGAAAGATGAACTGGGTTAAGACAACTATGCCAAATAATGTATGTAAAAACGATTGTCATTCATCAATCATTCTGTCGAGTGGTTTGCTCTCACTCACATTCTACATACATACATGTACATATTATAATGGGAACGTTATTTGCATTTTGCATAATAAATGTCCAGATTTATTCGCATATGGCTCTTGAAAATTATGTAAAATCTACACAATTTGAGCCAGAAAAGGATGCGGGTGAGAATATGGAAGCACACTTGAATAGATTAAAAGTGAAAGTGATTATTGCGAGATTTATTTATTATTACCTTCAAGTTGAGATTCTTCAACCCACTGAGCCCCTTGAACAATTTAGGAGGAAGGGTGGCTAATTTCTTACAGTTGGAAAGCTCCACATTCTCCAAATCCAAGTTGTTTGAAAATGCTTCTTCGACAAGAGAAAGCTCAGGTGCGCCTGTAGTGTTTTTATGCGTTTAATCGATTAGAAAATCCAATCACAATAAATTTGATTAAATCCAACCTATGTGCACCGTATTGTAAAGTGTATTGCGCAACTATTTTAAACCAAAGTAAATTTGTTGGTATTTAGTACCTGCGATCTCCAGATTCTTCATCTTCTTTAACCCTACAAAAGCATTTCTGGAGATTCGATCAAAGGGATTTCTTCCTAATTTGAGTGTTTCCAGCTGCATCAACGGGGGAAAGCTGGTTGTTGGAACGGTCATCATGTTATTGTCAGTTAGAATCAGTTTCCTGAGCACTCCCAGCCCTCTAAAGGCATGAATGTCAATGGAGGATATACGGCATCCTCGCAGGTCAAGTGAAACAAGATTTCTGGCCGCTGAGAACGCATCATTCACAATTTTCTCAATTGGATTGTATCCCAAGGACAAGTCTGCCAAATGGGGTACCAAATTGTTCTTTGGACTCAGTTGATTACCATTATTGGAGGAGGACGAAGAAGGAATGAATGCCCTGTTGGAAAATACTTCTGGGATTTGGTTTAGCTCGTTATTGTCTATTTTTAAAATCCGGAGGCCAGCAAGTCCCAAGAAAGCACTTGTATTTAGCTCTCGCAACGAGTTTTGGCTTAGGTCTAGTTCTTCCAAGTTTGGAACATACATGAACATTGAGGACTCGATTCTCTCCAGTAAATTATTTTGGAGGTTGAGCACGGCCAACGAATTCATGACACTTTGAGGTCCACCAAACGTTCTATTGCTCAGGTGAGAAATTTTGTTTGCGTTCAGATGCAATTGCACCAACTTGGTTTGAGAAGCAAAGCTCCCCGTTTGGATCCGGATCTGAAAAAAATTAAGGCAAACTATATTTCCAGTCAATGTATCAACACGCCCCCTCCGACTCCTTTTTTACGTACAACGAATAAGATAAACAAAATTTAAATGTATTCAAAATCGCACGAACATTGCCCTACAAGTAAATCCAACTTCTTGATCATTTTTGTTGCATATTACGTTCCACTCATTTCTCGCATAATAATAAATTATCGACAAAGGATAAAATAAGATAAAACAAATCAAATCTTACCAAATGATTATGACTCAGGTCAACATGGATCAGCTCGTGGTAGAAAGTGAGAGTCCCTTGGTCGATGCTTCGAATTTTGTTATTTTTCAAAATCAATCGCTGTACACTGGGATTTAGCGTAATTGGAACAATGTCCAGGTTGGCCTCGACGCAGTTCACATGCAAGTTCTGGAAAGAAAAAATTTACATTCAAGTCAATAATGCTGAAAATATTCCACGTATTATTGTCATGTAGTCATCAATCACCTCGTCGTCACATGTGCATCCCGTTGGACAGACGGCTGCAACACTTTCAAGAACTCCCGAGAAGCATAAAAATACGACGAGATGAATTAGCCTCATTTTCAAGACGATCCTCATTCTGGTGTCCTTCTTGGGTGGTGATGATAGTCGCAGTTCGTTCGCTGTGTAACGCTGCGATGAGACTATTTAGCTCCTTCGCTATGAGTAGGTATACTTTCTTCAATTTTGGCTTTTCACTTGGTCGATCGAATAATCCAAGTTCTCTTCTGCTCCCCTCTCATCTCATCTCATTGATGTTTTCTCTCCAGACTTTTAGTCTTCTTCTCGAGTATTTTCTCTCCTTGATTCACTTTGCTCACACACCTGCTGTCCAATCTGATTTATTTTATCTCTTACACCCAAGTAAGTTGGGTGATATTGGAATGAGAATCGGGCGTCGCCCTTTTCCCACTACCCCACTCGGTATTTTTATATGGGAAGACTGAACAAAGGAGCCAATTGATGGTGTTATATTATTTCACGGTGTCCATACAATTCAGTCCATTCAGAGAGACTAATCCACTTTGGACCCAAAATTGTAAGGACAGCAACTCAGATCGTGAGCAATGGTTCACTCGTTGTCCGCCTTTTTTGTCACGGATCTGAAACAAACAAACATGCAAAGGTTTCATTAAAAGATGTGATATAGGAAAATTACGACATGTGTATTACACTCCACGTTGGGATATCATTCCACTCGAATAGTGCATAAATTAGTAGAGTTAATTAGTCTAAAACTGCGATGTTAGATGGACTGGAGATTCAACCATCACACATACAAATAATTATAACCACACAAAATACCCACGCAGCTCATATGACTAATCATGTCTTTTGTTTTTACATTTTTTACTAATCGCCCAAGAGTCAGCGCCTTTTACTGGTTAAGAGAGGATACAAGTGTAATAACTAAATTTGATACTGCAAGAACTACCTCATTGAGAAGTGTAAATGTGTTTCTTAAAATCTCAAATGTATAAATATTATGAAAACATGATGTCGTTTCTAATTCACGAAGTAAATATGACACCATGCACAAGCAAGCAGCAAAACACGACCCTCCTGCTCTGCCAGTTCACGAAACGTAATAAAATAAAATCTCTTTGGACATCATAACATGGAATGGTTGGATAAATCAATTGATGATAACTCTTCTCGTCATCGCTGTACATGCTCGAAACTGGAATAACCATTACACGGTGGGAAGAGCATGTATGCATATACAGACCAAGCTGAATTGCATATTTATCATATCAAATTTCTTATCAACATGAACTGGAGTGACTAATCCAAAAACCTCTCATTATTTTAATAGTGGTTCATTTATCAATAGCAGTTTGCAAGCTAAGGATAAATTACTTATATGCTCCTTTAAGCGTATGTATCACCAACATTTTTGCAGCTCAAGCTTATCTCTGATAATAACTCGGAAATGGGATTTTATGATTGCGCGAACATGGCCTTAACAGGAGCACATATTGCATGGAAGCAATATCGAACACTATCTTGTGGGTAGATGAACTTGGTCTAATTTGTCAGTGTTACTGGCACGAAATTGGATTCCGCAAGTATTCGAGTCCGCAGTTGCTATCGTAGTGGAGTGGCCACATAAAATACATAAAATATTGTAATGGAATAGGAGGCGAGGGTGATGGAGCAAAAAACTCATATTCAGATATCTAAAAAAAAGTCGATTCATTTCTTCATGCCGGCCATAGCAGCAGATGGAAATATCCTAAACTTATTCAGAAGAGTTGCATTTTCCTGTGAAATATGGTCAAATCAACGCAACAATTTCATCCTGACAATCTCTTTGTTCAGTTATTTATAACCGCATACACTTTTCTTGCTTGTGCGCCACCGAAAATGTGCAGATCGTGTTTTGGAGAATAAATGAGGATGCTTTATGTTACGAAACTAAATATTCTATCGACATTCTGGAGGAGCCCAGCTATTTACGTCCAATGAGGACTAAATGCATCTCAACTCATTCCAAGCCACTGCGGTAAGAGTATCGGTGTACCAAATTTTTATCTTCAGTCATAATGCGGTCTTGCTGATAAGCTTTTAAAGGCATTGGGACCGTATAATTGAAAATAGGTAAATAGATATATCTACTCAACCGTCAACTTTCAAAACAGCCCACCAACCAACAACTCGGTGAAAAAAAGTTCGGAAAATAAGAAAAGAAACACTTTGCCGAAAGGAATGAGAAAGCATGGGGAGCGAACGGAGTGGAGGTGGATGCACGAATCTGCATTCATTTCTTGATAGCTGTAAGGAGCCTCTCACACTAGATGCGTCGTACAACATCCAATTTTTATGAACGGCAAACTCAAGAGTGCAATCTAGATTCTGGCCAGCCACGACGGGATGAAAAATGTTTTACGTCTTATCTTTTCGAGAAAATTGTGGATTTCAACGCTGCACGCTTTTACTTACTTGCATTCAGAAGGCAGTACATGAGAAAGTCTAGATTTAGGAGGAGGAGAACCCCAGACTTCATTTTCTGTAAGTGGCTTCTTTTTATTTGGAAAGGAAATGCATGCAATCGTGTCCTCTGATCGATTGTTCCCAAATATTTATCGCCGAAGGTACTTTCTCCAATCGTTTCCTTTCCGAATATCATGTCAATTGCATCAAATTCATATCGGAATATCCGACAGAATACAGCGCGTCTTGTGCATACTTGGGCACATCACCAGTGTCGCTCACCGACAATAAATTAGCCATCAACAACGGATGATCACATGTCAATGGTTCCCTGTTTTTTTTATTTAACCTTTAGGATCCCATTTCAAAATTGTTGTCACGAAAAATCGCATCACTAAGTCCCTAATTAATCTTCAATTAAATGCCCTTTAAGGTCCAAATAATTGTCAGCTATCTGTCCTCACGCACCCAAGCTGCTGAATCTTTTTCGACCACACTGACCCGAATTTTATTTTCAAGAAAAAACCAACGGAATATATTTGTATTATCACATGCAATGATAATCCACAAAAACTACTTCCCATATACATATACTATTACCGTGGTGAAAAACCTATTAGTACAGCTTCGCATAGCCCGAACCAGAAATTTTTATCCCAGTGAGGCCTTATGTATTTGCCATGTCTGTCTTTCGGTCCACCGATACCATACACCCAAAACGGTTTGCCTTCAAATTTTGCAGGTGCCAAAAATAATCGAGTTCGCAAGTGAGCCAAATCTGTCGAGTGAGGTCATATAGATAGGTGGGTGGAATCGACACCAAACTTGAAAATATCGCTAGAAAGCTGAAATTCAGCACATTGAGTGCTAATGGCGTGTAATGAAAGACTCGGAGGGGAAATCTAAAAATATTTAACCAGAGGGACAATATGGGGTGGAGGAGGGAGATGACCCATACCGATTTTCAAAAATAGCCACAAACCTACATTGTCTGCAATTATACAATGTCCTTAGTCAAGGACGGACCGCTCCTAAATTTTTGTCCGAATTGACCGGACTGCGATTACCACACCCCGTGTTGGGAATGGTCGAATGTGTGCAGAATATTTGTTATTTTGTGGAGTATTTACAAATCCTTCCTTGACTACCAGGACCACTGTGACTTGCTTCTTTCAAATCTTCCAAAGTTTTATTTGCTATTCAGAAGTCATTTTTAGCCCCTATCCCAAATTCCAGCTGAAAATAGCAACTTTTAAAACCAGTATGGGTCACCCTCTAGAGTCACTAAGGTTACACATTGACCACTTTGAACTTCATATACTTTCATGAGAACCCATTCAGTATCCTATGCCGATTTTTATATTTTTACGACAATGTCTTAAAACCGGCATGTGTCACCCATAGGGTCCCCTCGGTAAGATTTTGCAATTTTACTTCATATTCTTTCAATAGAAGCCATTAGCAAGCTCTATACCAAATTTCAGCTTTCTATGACAATTTTGAAATTTTAGTGTATAGTACCCCATCCACTCAGACGACCCCCACCGGTCAACCACTTGACCAATTTCCCCATCTGCGAACTCGTTTCTAACTTTGTCCAATTTGCATATACTAAAAATTTCATGTGAATCGGGTCAGTCGTTTTGGCTCTAGCCTGTTCACGGACAGACAGACAGACGGACAACCATCACGATTCCATAAGCCCTAACTCGGGCGCCATATCAAAACCCTTCAATTTCATGCAATGTTTCCACGGTCGCCAAATTTGTAATTTTTTGAAAATACACGTATTTGTGTATACGGGATTCAACGCATTTTGTCGCGTATCCATGATATTCATGTATCTGGGACACAGAGTCAAATTTCAAAATTCCATGACATTCGTGGACTTGGGATTTGTGGGATGTTTTACAAATTCCATGACACTCGTGTACATGGGATTTAAGTGAAAATTTAATAAATTCCATGACATTCGTGGACTGGGATCCTAAAGGTTAATAAGTGTCGCCAATTTAGTTATCACATCACAATTTTGTGTTTTGTTATTCCATCCATTCAAAGAAAATTCCGTCAATTTTCATTTTTACATGCACCACGGAATGACTAGAATTATTGACACGCAACAATGTATCCTTAATTTCAAACACAAACAAAGAACCAACTCGACACAATACTCAACCGGAGAAGGGTAAATACATATGTATGTGTGCGTCTCAGAATGTTTGATCGAATTGAATACGAAATTGAGGATAAAATACTAATGACTTGAAAGTTTACATAACTCCAGTCAGTCGCTCGGTCCGGCTCAAATGATGCACCTCTCTTCTTGGTGTGTACTTTGTTCTTATCTCAATCCTCTAACTTGGAATTATTTGTACTATTATATTTCCATTTCTTGGCTTTACCCTACCCGAGCTGAATCCCTTCATCTCTTCCCCTGCACGGCAAGTTTTATTATAACTGACAGGTTTCCTTCGTTGATGAGAACAAACAGGCGTCTAATCAAGGCCAGCCAGACCTGATATGCAATTCCACTCTTTCTACATATCTCTCCCCTGGTCTGGAGAGCGGAGAGATGCAACGTTTTATCACGTACACGCTCATATTAGACACCAATTTTCATCTCGGTCGAATTAAAATGAAGAAAGGTGCCATTATAAGCAGTATTCAATTTATCGGAAGATGAATGAAAAATAATAAAACCTATCAGTACAGCTTTGCTCAGCCCGAACCAGGATTGATTAGTAAACCCATGTTTGTCAGAATGTTATACTATTTTTCACTAATTCTTTCATTAACTAACGTCACTTGGTAGTATTACTTGGCACCAAACCAAATACCACGAGTAGTAGAGGCTGTTCGTATAAAAATTTCGAAATTCAACCCTCCTATATTCTAATTCTAAGTTATTTTTCGACTCCACACTAAATTTTATCTGAATATACGAGGGGGGGTAGATAAGTAATCGGCCTCGCCTTGAAGGGGGGTCATTTTGCTCCACTTTTTTTGTCGGTGCGAAAGATAAACTCATATGTATCTCAGATCTCACAGCTTAAAAATTCACGGTCACAGCCGAGTCCAGGTGATCATCTGATGTGATCAAAAACCATGAAACAGGCAAAACTGATAAAATTTAGCCCTGGTTTGTTACGTAGAATTAGACCGCCAAAACGGAAACATGTACTTCTTTTTGCCTTTAATCACTGAGTAATGAACCTAGGTTCATTATTATGACCTTGAAATTAGACAAAACAACAAGCAGTGGAAGCACCCACCCGCAAAGGAGCAAACCGGGAACTGAAGTTGTTATGATGGCTTTGGCCACTTGTTTTGGAACTCAGAAGTACTTCTGCTACTGGACGTTGTGGCTCCTAAAACGGCCATACCTGGTGCGTATTACACCGCAGTTTTGAATTTTTAACCCAAGCCGTTGTGGAGAAAAGACGGGAACAAAAATCCCGTCGCTCACGAAAACGCTCACAGAGAATTTTCAAAATCCAAACTTTTGAAGGGTGCCATTTTAGGCCAAAAAATGCCAAAATTATTTCATCCCCCTTACAGTCCACACCTGGCCTCTAGTGACTGCTGTATATTTCGAAATTTTCAAAAAACCTCAGGGGGAGGAGATTTCGACGATTGATGAGGTGAAAACAGCGTTTTTGACTTTTTTCGAAAACCATTTATAAAATCGGGATAGAGTGTTTGAAATTTAGCGGACCAAGTGTGTTAACCTCGCAGGGGGCTACATTTAAAAGTAGTAGGGCAAGTACCCCAAATTTGTTACCGGATCATGGCGAGGCCGATTACTTTTCTTCCCCCCCTCGTATAAACTCTTAGAAATCGGTATGGGTACCCCTTAATGCCCCTCTGATTACTTTTTGTTCATCTTTGACTTCATATAATTTCATGAGAAGCCATTAAGTATCACCGTTCCGAATTTCAGCTTTTTGCGACAAGTTATGAAAAACGGTATGGGTCACCCCAACGGGTCCCCGGATATGAAAATTATCCCGATTTCACTATTCTTCCATTAGGGGCCATTAGCAGCCTCTATACCAAATTTCAGCTCGATTGGATGATTTTGAAAAATCGGTATGGGTCACCCCTCGGGTGCCTCTGGTTGAAAAATTTTCCAGTTTCACTGCATATTCTTTCATTAGTAGTCATTAGCAACCTCTGTACCAAATTTGAGCCTTCTACGACAACTTTGAAATTTTGGTGCATAATACCCCACCCACTTCGATGACCCCCACCGGTCAACCACTGGACCGATGTCGCCCATCTTCGAACTCGTTTCCTAACTTTGTCCAATATGCATATGGTAAAAATTTCAAAGCAATCGGTCAACTCGTTCGAGAGTTATCGAAAGACAGATGGACAGACAGACGGACATGACAATTACATAAGCCCTGGTTCGGGCTAATAATGAGGCATTTCCGAAAAATGTGGACCAAAATATTTGCCGATTTTCTGAATGAGTCTGTATTCTTTTAAACTATATATAACTTACTGATTGTGCCGGCGAATCAACAACTTATTAATTATTAAATAGTATAATAATCCATCGCGTAACCGGAGATTAAGAAGGCGCCATCGATGGTGTAGCATAATAATTACTTGTCAAATAATAAATACAAACAAACAGGGGCTACTCAATCGCTTAAGAAAATGCCGCATGCCATTTAAGCAAGTAACCTGACGAACCACCACTTCCCTTGGACCATTTCCTTAAGGTTTGGGTGCATGAAGACTGAGAGGTAATAATAACACACCGGTGAAATTTGGTGTGCACAACTACCGGAATAGTTCAAAGAGATCATTATTATTCTTATCCATTCAAGTTTTCAAGTGGAACCGGCCATTATTATTATTAGTCCGACGAATGTAAACGGTGAGTGGGGACGGAGGACGGTGTGCTTATTATGTCTTATCAGATTTCAATTTTCTTACTTTCATGGCTCGTATGCATCGTCACACACTCAAACTCCACTTGCTTATTACAGATCTTACTTATTTACACGTGCATGCTACAACTCGACTACAATTGAGTTGGAATGAAATCCACGCATGCTGGATAAAATAGTGGAACTGGTACAAAAAAGTAAAGTAAAATTCTAGCGTAGATAGAAAAGGAAGAAGAAACTGGTATCTCATATTTGTTTGGCTGGGACAAGGTATGTCAGCACCTGTGATCAACTTGTCAAAAAGTGTGATGGATCATTTTTCCAAGTCATGTGCATATTCATGGCTTGACAAGGAATGAAAATGATACTCTTTGGGGAACAAAGTTAAACTCGAAATCTGAAATTGAGCATGATGCATTGATTTTGATTCTGCTGATGTTTATTAAAGTCTTCAATCTCTGTCAGACATTTTTACTAGTCAACTTGCACAACTCGGTTCTCTGCCCCTCTCTTCCCGACTTATTAGCCTTGTATCATACTACCCGGAAATTGGAATGCTATTGTAAAATATTAAACCTTTTTATCGGCCAGAGCTAAGTGAGAGATGTTGTTTTGTGTTTATTTGCAAAGCGTTGCCCTGATATAAAGCAGGCCTTTCAGTACATCTCCACTACTCGTAGTGAAGATTTAGGAGGAAATGCTGATAACCACGTCGAATGTTTATTCAGAAGAAAGCGTCAATCTCAGCTTCATGAATCTCTTTGAGTAGCCAAAAATGCTTCAAAATGGGATATTCTTACCTGAGCCTAGTTGCGTCTTACGATTAGGAGGAATTTTATATATTCACGTGTATAACTATGTATTATCAGTAAAAACTATGCTCTCCTCCATTCCAGCTGCACACTGATCACTAATTACAAGGTAAATGACGGTGTTGTTGTCACGATCGTTATTCGCGACGATGATGGTTCAAAAATAGCATCAATAGGTGACGTAATGTACACAGTGTGCAATAATGGCTATAACAAATTCACTCACTGTTAAAAACTAACGCAAATTCGTATGAGCACCAACTTTGTTTAAGCCACTCCGCAGTACATGCAGAGCCGAAGTAACACTCATCCACGTTCAACGCATACCACGGCAAAAAATGTTCTGGCGGAAACAAAGTTCCATTCCATCAACCATTGTTAATGATTTAAGGCGAAAATCAAGTTAATATTGTTGTTCTCGTCAAATGTATCCACATACGCGTCAGTATTTAACGAATTCAAACAGTTAGCAAAATCTTTAAGGAAAGAGTACAAGGCAACTGAATGAGGTGAAGAGAAACGAAGCTAAACAGTGAATAAAATGTTTTGTATTAAAAAATGACCAACACCTCTGCATGCATGTAACTTCCAAGCTGCTAAGCTAAAGCTATCGTGCTGTGTTATTATCACTCGGATAATAGTTTGTTCTCTGCATATGTCGAATGTCTTGTGTGGTGCATTACATATTATGTACGTACATATAAACTAAATGTGTGTGGCTTTTGACTCCTCCAGGTTGAGTCATCCCCCCGCAGCAACAGCGTAAACGAACACCGTGTAATCATAAATACACATTATCAGCGTGGAGATGCTCCATTGTCCTGATTCATTTCATTAAGTTCTGATTTATAGCAGCCACAAATGGTTGTGTGAATCGGGAAGAGTGGAAGTTTGATAAGGTAAACTCGAGTAAACTTTGTATATATTTCATACGCGTACTTGGGTACAAATGCTGCTGCATACTCCGTCCGTTCTCGTGCATACACCTTCCGAGACAGAAGTTGAACAAGTGATTATGCAGCGTCGCTTACACATATGCATAACCAAGCGTTTATCACGTTCACCAATTTTCAGTGCACTTTATGAATACGGGCGCACATTAGATTTCCAAGTATCCATTTTACTATCCACTTGTAACAAGAACAGCACCATAAGTGGCGAACAAATCCGACCAATGTCGTTTTGTTTACTAGGGTTTAGCACTGTTTATTGCATGCTTAATAATGCTAATTTCAAAGTGATTGCAAAGTGAGAATATCCGTTTCCATTTTCAAATCAGTCGACTTTGGTCTCCACAAATGGTTGTAACACTTATTACAACCTGCAATGAAGATAAGAGCAGAATGAGATGTGCACCATAAGGTTTGCCAGTTACATGTATTTAATGCCAAGTAGAATAGCCAGCAAAAACCATGAGACGTGTTGCTCGACGCTAAATTACATTTTATGTATCAGCGTCTTTGCCCAATATTCCACTATTTGATTAAGCTGAGTAAATAATTCAAAGGTAAAGTCTAAAAGTTTACATTACTGTACCTACAATTAGCAAAAACGGCTTGAACATTGATTTCCATTAAATATGTGCTTAAAGAAGAATGTCAAATTATACACTGTGTGCATACAAGCACTATCAACGTTGCACACATATGTAAATACATATATTCACGTACATCGCATCCGTCCACAAATATTTTTCAATGTCCATACATATAATATTCGTTGGATCATTCATTACGCCCATGTAGAATTTAATTTGGTTCTATCAGTCAAAATAGATTGTAATTTTACCTTCCTCCAAGCTCAACTGTCCAACTTAAGTACATTCGTTCATTTCATTTCCACGACATATGTACTGCACACAACTGCTGTAAAATACATATGTACTACATGCATACACACTTCTTGTATGAACCCAGAATCTTATTTGAAGATAACGAAGATTGAGATGTCAAAATTACACGACGTCTCATCTCATGTCACCAAATCTGCATTGTAATCATAATTCACAACCCCCGAAGTCAATAGTGAACCACAAACGCCGCAACAATCAGTCAGACTAGCAGAGTCAGATAGTCGTGTAATCTAAATTTGTGAGTTTTCTCATTTTCCGGCTCCTGGGGGATATTTTACCCAGTAATTCACCACCGACAGAACAACCTTCGAGTTTTCACTGCGCCACCAAGAGCGATCCGGATCTCATGCCAAGAAAGTCCAATTCTTCATGCCCTGGAGCAGCCTCAGCCGTGTCAACTAAACTACTCAGAGATCAACAATTCAGCACCAGCAGACTAGAACACGACGATGTACGTATAATATGCAAGTCACAATATTATTATCAGAAATTGTGTCATTCATCGTGCAACGCTCATCGACAGCTTCGATCGCACGATAATATTTTGCCTTCTCAGCTTAAATTCATCCGAGTAGAAATCCTACATATTCAGTAATCTCCAGCGGTGACTTCGGTCAATATAACCAACCCCCCGGAGATAGGAGGAGGCAAACAAGATCCACCCACCATCTTATTCATTGTGGCTCAAGATTCACTTTTTTACATTTCTATATAGCCTCCATAAAAATCTTACGGCTATTATGACGTCGTATTTTAATCAATTTCATTACTGGAGATCTGCTTGCCTTGGGAATATGTTTTGTGTGTGTACATATTTGTAGGGTCAGGCCTTCGTGTAGACAAAAACGAATGATTATTTTCAATATACCCAGATTGGGAGTGAATTATTGTGGTTACTTGATAAGCTATTTGGTGAAATACATGTTTTTCTACAAATAATTTTCAGAGCTCATTCGTATTTAAAGTTTTGTAACTGTTTGCGACGAGGTAAACATCTTGTGTGCCACAGTAATAACTAGTCGGAAATAAAACCTTTGGGCATACTTATATCCGGTATTAACCTACAAAGGTAAGCTTTCACTAGGAAACAGAAAGCTTACTACAATGCGCGCTGTATCAAAAATCCTTATGGTTTTTACATTTTGCAGATCCATTTCCTAAATGTGAGAACCTGAGGAAATTTCGTCATTGCATTATCATTTCTGATGGAAGCTCATGCCCGATATAGTCAAGTCAACGCTGTGTTACGGGAGGAACCCTGCTGCTATATTTATTGTAATAGACGGTCCATGAGCATCAAGGAAATTGAAATTACTACTTGATCCATCACCACAATTCTCTCTCTCTCTCCAGCAGATTTATGTCATTGAAGTAAAAAAAACTGTTGAAAAACGGAGATGAAAAAGGGTTCTATCCTTTTCGAGTAGTAAATACGATACTCCTTTGAATGTGTGTCTCTTGGTATTAATATAAACTATAATGTGTCACATAAAACCTGACAGTTTCCCAATATCGTCTAAACTCGAGGGGTTCTGTTTCCTTTCAAAGTCCATAATTCTTGAGTTGGACATCGAAGGAAATGTGGATCGGCTTCTCAAACTTTATTACAATCCCTCAACTACGGCACCATATAATTCTTGACATTGTTTTCTACTATAAGGTAAAATTTTTGCACGACACACAAACTGAGTCGTTTTCTCATGGCCGAAAGTAAGCCATCCCAGCGTGAACCTGAAGAAAGTTAGTAGAGTGGCAGAAATCATGAAAGGTAGCGGATGAGCTCCGGAATTAGTGAAAAAGCACTCTCACATCTCATCATTTCCAGTCTGAAGACTTGAGAAAAATTATGTGCTATCCCATTATTATATATTTCTGTTCGTACCAAAAATAGTCTACACCTACCTACCCCACATTTTGCTTTCACCAGTACAGAAAAAAAGTACAAAAGATTTTTATTCGAGTGCACAAAGTCGATAACTGAAGTGTAAAAGTTTATTTAATACGAGACTAAAAGACGAAAAACCAAAAACCATCCTTGAATCAATGTGTGATGATAGGAAAGTGAGAGCAAAAAGCACAGTACAAATCACATGTACCTTATACCACGGTTAGTCTGACGCACTTTCTCTCTCCACAAATGTTTCATCACATTGTCCATTGTCTGCTGATCTGATAGTTGTACGCATTCCGCATGCCGTTCTTCCATTTCTACCGTCATACTGCGAGTTGTGAACAATGGAGAGAATTTGTTTCCGCACTATACCGACCGTAGTTCCAGCAACCCGGCCACTTCTTTGTTTTCACCCTCAACCACGGCTGCCGATTCTGCCCAACCAAACCCAACAACCATACGCATTCATCATTGATAATGGAATGAGAGAAAGCATCTGGAGAAACCAAGCATGGCAAAAAAATCTCAAGCAGGCCGCTCGGCTGCCCTTTTGTCGTCTTTTGTTATTTCAGGGTAGACAAAATATATGTAGTCAGAATAATATAGAAATAAACATAGTCAGCCTAAAAGGCAAGTCAAAACATGACATATTGTACGCAATAACAATATATATATAGCTACTCAGCTTAAAAATGACCTTTAATGGAAAAAGGGATTTCATATGAATATGAACAACGCGGTCTTTCAGAGGGTAAATACTTTATCTAATTTTTTCAATAAATTTATTGTGCAGCCAACCCAGTAATACTTGGTCTGATGACATTGCTGTTAGAAGGCTGATAGAGTCTGATGGGAGACAATGCGCCATTATTGTCATCCGCCAACTACGTAATAGTCGAGAAAAGGCAGCAAAGTCATGTGCACTCACACATCCAAGAAATTATTCCTTCAGAATCACACCCATTTCACATTCAGTCAAGCCAAATTTCCAACCCATCGGCATTTGCATTTGCTCAATACTATTCTGATGATGACGACTTGATATGCAACCCACCACTTCATGACCAACTTTATACTCGCATATTCCGTGGATATTGTGCGACTACTGCATAAGAGGAAAATTTGGAGACTCTACTACGCTTGCCCTTCTGTTGGTGAAAGAAAGAAAAAAAGTCACCCCAAATGTCTCAAATAAAATCAAGGAGAAAGTTCCATTTGATTTGATTTCGATTTCATTACTCTCAGTTGAATGGAGCACGTGGATGAAGAATTACGATGAGAGCGGATTAGAGCTCGCAGATTATATTGGTCTTAAAACCCTTCGTGGTCGTAATAGAAAATTTTGAGAGGCTTTCTTCCCTTAAAATGAAGGATATTAAATTCAAGTATAAACTTCTTTCATAATGTTAAAAGCCCCAAAACTAAACCGAATTGAATTACAAATTTTGGTTCATTTATTGTTTCGTTAGTTTAGTAAAGATTTGCAATCTCTCGAATACGTGTAAAAGCATTACGAAACATGTCTATGTCTGGGCGAATTTATAAAGGGGTATGCTTTAATAGATTTTTAGCCATGCAAAGCCACAACTATGGCAAGTCAAAGTCGATTTCCAAGATACAATGAAAAAATAAGGAACACTAAACTTGCCAAATCGCATTAAACGGTTGAATAGTTTCAGGCAAGCTTCTGAAATCAGCATATTTTTAAGAGTCTAGAAAAGTATTGAGCTCCGAATTTATTACGACATGGCGTGGCAAGGTTTCTAAATTCTAGTGAGTGTGCCCAATTATGAGCTGGAATCTTCGGGAAATGATATATTCGAGAAATTACCTCAATAAATAAAGATATATAGGAACCTTTTCTAGAACGATTTTATTATTATAAAGTTTCGCTAAAATCCTTGATTATTCCTCTAGTTCCTCAAATTTGAAAGTTTGTGCATATTTAATTTGGCCATATTTTTAACCAACTGAATGAAGTGAAACTAAATACATATGCAGCGTAATATTCTTCCAATAAATTTAGGGATTGACAGATATAGAGTATTTCCCAGCAGGAACTCAGTTAAGAATTAGGCCGTGAGCATGGCAAAAGTTTGATAGCCAAATCTAGAAAACTTGTCCCACTTTCAATCAATCTTTATACAAATATTCTAATTTCTTTCCATAAATGATTTAATATAAATAAGTTATGTTTGAAAGGAGGAGGAAATATACGTCAGTCCTACAAACTGCACTGCGTGTTGCTAACTGATTTTATGCCCAAGTAAATTTTTGACAAGGATTCATACACAATAACACTTTTCCAAACTACAGAAATATGCACATATCAGCAATTCTCAAATAGCCACTGGAACTTAAGAAACCACAGTCGAAATGAAACCTGAAAGTATTATCATAAAAATATTTTTGTGGTCGAAATATCATTTCGTGTGTTGCCACAAAGCATGTTTGCACCTACTCGAAACAGCCAAACCGCACAAGGCGTATTTTGCTAAGGGAAAGCATATCATGATCATTAAATCATTCATTATTATCTCTGGCCAACATTAGGAGAGTGCAAGAGGCTCCCTTCTCATCATTTCAACGATCACAAAGGACTCGGAAATGGAGCTGGCCATTAGGAATTTAGGAATACAAATTATGAATAGTGAAGTTAGTGCTCGCTCCATGCATGAAAGAACGAGGTACCAGAAATAGACGACGATGCTTTGCTCCGCTATCACCACCACCATGCTCAAAAACATAATGTCATAATTCAACAAAACACACATTATGTCCGTTTCAGAAGAAGCCGGGAGAAAGCCCTCGTTTCGTTGGGCTGCTGCTTTCCGAACGAAAGAAGATTTTATACGAAAGCCTATTTTCTAGCCCTATTTCCCCCTTTGCTGCCACATAAACCACCCAGCTCACCTACCGATCTTAATAAAATGTACAATAAATATACAGCCCGCACAACTTTTCCTCTTCCTTACCATTCGACAAGACTACTCTTGGTAACAAGCTGGAATTTATTTTTATTGCAACTAGGTCTTCTGAAATTCTTTTACAATGTAGTAAAATTCATATAATAATGCGTAATGTGCTAAGAATGCAGTGCTCCGTCCCACCAAAGTTCGCAATGAATATGTCCTTCTCTCCAGATCAAGAAATGCAAAAATTCTTCTTTACAGTCTCCCAGAGACCGGGAAGAAGGTTGTGGAGGCAGGCAGGCAGGCGGGTGAGTGTGTGGGGTGTGGGTGTTTTTTAAGCCAGTCTTACCCTACTTTCCCTTACGCCTCTCTCCAAGGAAAAATTGCAGGGGGAAAATTATTACATAACATGATTTACATTAATACCACCACAAGAATCCTGCTGCTCCCAGTATTTTATTGGGACCCTGGGAATTAAGTTTATGTTCTTTCCTCTTCCACCACCACCACCACCACCACGCCACTGCCAGACCTCAGAGATAAGTAATGAACTTTCCTAATGTGTGCAAAGATCGGAATAGTTTCCACCGTCTCAGCCAAAGCAGAGCAGCACTTAATATATAAATTAAATGTCCAAAACTGTATTATTTGAATTGCTTTTTTAACCAGAAAACCGAAAAACCATGAACCCACATATTCAACAATAAACTGGTCGTGTGCTAATGGAAAAGTAGATTTAATACAATTGGGGACGCATCGGTACAGTTACGTATTGATGAACGGTGTAAGGGACTTCATAGATGCACAAGGACTCCAGCATTCGCTTGGATGCCGACTAGTTTGCACAAGTTAAAAGAGTAGCTTTAATTTTGCGTCTCTCTGAGATCGTAATAGATAATGCCTCCTACTCATTTCTGGCGAAAATCCCGTGGGCTTCCACACAGCACGGCAACTAGACCTACATAATATGTAGCACATATGTATGTACGTATGTATGTATGCCAACCTTAAACCAACTTATAAATGAGCACGACGCTTTGATCAGTGAAACGGTATAAAATACTTTATGGGGCGACCATTTTGAACCCCACCAACTCTTATGGCATAAAGTCTAAAAAGTAAAACTGGGTCATAAGATTTAATTTCAACTGCTTTACTTGCAATTTCCTTAATTCTATTCTCCGAAGACTCTAGATGATAGAAAATGTAGTGACTGATCCCAAGTCAGCCCAATAGGAATACAAATTTGTTTTCAAATTTGTTTTCAAACTTTGTTACGATACAAATTTTATGATGGAACGGATGAACGAGTCTGTTGCATCTTCTCGCGGTTCACTAACTGAACCCATAACACAAGCGACTAACCTCCCTTCTTGCCCACTTGGCCAAGCTGACAGCGTAAAATTGAAGTGATAATAGAGGCCGGAGGATTGGCATGAGAAGGAGAGTGGAGATTTCTTTTTTGGAAATTTAATAAGGAAATTTCCCAGATGACCCATTTAAGTGAAGACTGAGAGAGAGCCAAGGACCAAGCGACACAAAGGTCATATGTTATTTGACTCGAGCAATACATCTCGTTCGTTAGTGTAATGGGAGAAAGTGCTAAAGAGTTTACGTACTTTCCACTCGAGAAATGTGTGTGCAGATTTCACGGATTCAAATGGCCAATCACATTTGCGTTTTATAGGTTCAAGTTCCGCAAGGGTCCCATCCTTGCGTATTATTACTACTGCTCTCTCTCCACCATGACATTAGACACGGGGAGCACAACCACGTCGTACGGGTCTGACACACGCTGCGGTTTGTTTCCATGCAGTGTGATCTATAAAGACAACACTAAGCAACTTGACTATTCATAACGGCCTGAGAGTGAGAATGTTGCTCAACATCATGCACCCGGGAGGCATGTGCTATTCTACTGCGGCGGACTATATTTAAAACAAAATTGCCAAAGTCAGCTTTCTCCAGTGCTCCAACTGGGGGGTCATATATCTGCGGGGAAAGGATTAATATTTTAATCCTCCTCCTCATTCATTGTGCAGTATGATCCAAGCAACAGCACCAAACTGTTTCGAATTATGGACTCATTTAAAGGGAAATAATGGAGTTGCTTGCTCCACTTTCTATCGTATGTATGCATGCGCATATACTCGAATACTCGTTTTTTAGTCGTATGCAAATCTAATAAACCATTTCTCTTCCTTCATTAGGTCAACGTTTCTTCCTCTCCGCAGCTGCTTGCGAATTTTGAGATAATGTTGCACGACAAGAGGAGGGGAAGAAGCCTCAGCACTACAATAATCAGTAGTCACCAGAGTGGTAGTAGCAGTGGTGGTAGTGATGATGGTGGGGTGTGTACTTTGCTTTTCCCTATTACCATTAGTTATCAGAGAGGAGGGTAAAGTGAAAGTCGAATTTAGGTCTTCTTCTCTTCAACCCAAGTCAAGTGGAGCAGTAATAAAATAATATTTGTGTTCAGACCTTCCGAGTTCCGAGAGAGAGAGAGCTTGGAATCACATTGTAACTTTCTCCCTCCTCTCGAGAAGAATTCCCACTCGTGGCAATGCTCTCTTCTTCCTTCTTCTTCGCCTTGATGACTCGTTAAAGGAGGCAACTTCCGCTGCTTATTGCATTTTCTTTAGCTTTTTGCATAATTCCGATGGCTCAATATTTGGTCTGAATTGAACATTGGCGTTGCTGAAGACCTCTCTCTCTCTCATTGAGGATGCCTCTCACATTTGCCCCGTTTAATACAGTCAGGTTTCGTCGGATCATAAACGAGTCGCAATAAAATTTCCCACCATATTATAGCAAACTTTGAAGGTTTTGCAATTTTAGTCAGGTTTTACTTTTCCTGGCGGCCCTTGTGCCCGCCCTTGCTGATACTTTTAAAGGAAACCAATGGAATTGTTATGTTATGAGAAAACCTCCCTTTTCATTTCATCACTTCACACGTCCTATGCACTGGGACGACACAAAATGTGCAAAGTTTTACGGTTATTTCCAATGCTCGCCATTTAACCACCACATACCAATAATGGGCTCAACGATCCAACTTTGCCAATAATCTATACATATGTAATGATAAGCACATCCTCCAACAGGACGATAATAGTGATTTGCATAATTATCGTAACAAGGTCTCACCTCCGAGTTATATCTGCTCCACAGGTTCACTCCAACATCTGCTATAGCGTTAATCGTCTGAATCTGCAAAACACAAGAAAAAGACTTGTCACTACACTTTGTACTCTTGCGATATCATCATTAACAGCCTCATTTGACAATAATCCGACAGTAAACAAGTGATTTGCAGGAGGAAGTCGTCGAGGCCCACTTGATGTATATCCACGTCATCAAGAGCAATTTCAGAAAGCCAGATGACAACTAATCGTAAGTCATCCAGACTGCGCGACGGAAGATCAGGATTATCGTTTTGCAAACTGGAGTAAACAATATGAGACAAGCGGCTCATCTTCGTCGTCGTCGTCCTTCCTCTCTATTATCTCCGTGAGAATTGAACCACTTTTGTAGCTCGTTTGCTTTCTCCGCCATCATGCACATGGTCTGGCATGTGGATATGATGGCGTAATTCTGGTAATAAGTTATAACCCAACAGCAGTAATCTGAGATTGCGAGATGCGGACAAGAAGAGAAAGCGAAGGAAGAAAGCACTCAAGAACAGAATAAAATTTTGTTGTGACAGTTCTACTTTCACTTGAATGGCTGTTTGTTGTCCTAGCCAAAAATCTCATCTTGCATCAGCCCATTTACGCTAAATTACAAAGCAAGCACCGGAAGATGGAAACCAGAGAAGTGGAGTGGACACAGCGGAAAAGGATACGACGAGGACTGAATGAGTGCACCCCCCTCTTGGAATTTCTTCACATTTGAACGTCAGTTCAAGAAATTCCTCGAGTGGAGAAAGCAACCGTCAACCATCTTAAGTGGTGAATGCGACAATCTCATTTGCAATTTCAAATTTGGAAAGTCCTCAAATTCAGGATGAACCAACCACGCGCTTTTCTCCCTCCCTTCAAATTCACCATCTTTTCAAATGTTCCACACGGATGGGTTCAGATCCAATTTTTGTGGTGCTGCCCAAGAATATTATTATGAGGCTAGTTTGGCAAACGAACAACAAAATATGCAGAGAGAGAAATAAAGAGATGTACGAAAAACAGGCACAATAATACTCCAATTTTGTATTTTATGTGGTATACAAAACTCATTAGACTATCTGCATATTATTTAGTCCGTCTTCAGAATAATCAACATTTCTTCCAACTCTGAAAAATTATGGAAATTCATATTTCGGTCATTTATATATATTTTATGATGAAATCCAAATTGCATGGTTTGGCAGTGAAACAGATGGTTTTCACTCAACAGAAACTATTTATCAAAATTTTAGTTCGAGATTGTTTTTGTTTCGTTTCGTTCAGTTATGAAACCAAGAGAATGACAAAACTGAATTCCATTTCATGGTCATTTTTTATTTCCACATATATTGCAAACTAGCCAACCAAAGTTGGCAGTGTGCACAAAAAAAACACGATCAGCATCAGCATTGTTGTTTTAACTGTGATCAGAATTTAGTGAAATATTTTAGAATAAAGTGCTTTCCCTGCAAATTTATATATTTATTTCTATTGACAGCAGAAGAGACAGCGCATATCAAAGATGAGACCCAGAGTGTGGTGTTTGATAACACTCAACCCTGCCTGCCTGCCTGAAATAACGAGAGAAAGTGGCCCAGCTCTATTTCTTTTGATGTTGATGGGCATCAAGAAAAAATGTGCTGCATGCAATTTGTGCTCATATGAGAAGCATCCAGAATAACATCAACTGGGTGAAAATGTTGGAATATATAAAAAATATTTGTGCATTTGTACACGAAAAAGTAGATCGGACCTTGTTGTTCCTGGAACCTCTTGAGTGGAGTGGAGCAGGTTATATTACAAACACTATTTTTAGAAAAACTCCGACTTGAACCTCATATAAATAATTCAGAGTTCTGAAATCGCATCCCCTCTCCGACACACAAAAGACATGGCGAATTCACAGCCCTCCTCTTTTACCCGGCTGCCCACCTAGAATGATGCTCCATATGACGAATTCCCATCATTCTCATCCATTTCATCTACAGCCTCACATTTTACTTGACGCCCTTTTCAATATCCGTAATGGCAACGAGCAAAAGTTATTTACTTTCTCTCACTTTCTGAAATTTGAATAAATTTTTGCATAAAAGTCCTACGTCAAATGTGGATTTCTTCACATTTGTCTTTTTTTTCTGGTTACATAATGCTTTATAAACACTTGCACAATTTTAACAAGAGTGAAAATTTCCATTAAATTCCATTAAGCGTTTGTGCTTTCACTGGTCGATGTAAAAATTAATGACTTGAAATATTACTCGTCCGATTTTGGATATTGAATGGAAAAGTATCGTAATCCTCTTAATTCCCTGCCACAGCGTGTGGTGGAAGAAATATAACTGCTGCATAGATATGTTTTCTTAATTTTACGTAAGAAACAGTGAGGTCGACAAGATTTTCCGAGTTTCGTTGAAGAAAAGCGTTCTCTGGTAGACTACTTCCAAGACAGATTTCTAAAGATTATTAGCATGCATTAGCTCATCTTGCAAAAATGGTTCCATACGTAAAATCACTTGCTTCGCAATATTTTCTAACAATGGGTGCTTTGTAGGGCTGCTTCTTTAACAAAAGAGGAATATATGATTTTTCACGATTTATTCCACCCCATGAAACCAAGAGTGGGTGGGAGAGAGACCAGTGAGTAATAGAACGGGGAAAAGAGTTCATTAGGGTATCGTGAGAAAAAGACAGACAAAGAGAGGATCACTGAGAAGCTTAATGTACGCATTAATCCGCCTGACATTTAACTAATGCACATCACCAAAAGAGCTCTCTCTCAAACAGCTTCCTCCTTGGGGAAAGTGCTCCCTCGCCAGTAAAAAATAAACTCTTTGTTCTTGACTATTGTGAACCAAGAACCATTGAAGCTTGTGTGTGAGAGAGAATTGCATATGGATTGTTGCTGTGAAATGTGACATTTCTGACGCCATTTGGAACACAAAATGCAGAGAAAACGTGGCTGGCTGCCATTCCACCCACAAAAGAGCGAAAGTTCTTGAACATATTGAAGAGTAAGGAGAAGGAGGGCACTGGAAGTAATTGTGACAGCGGGTTAACATGCTTTACTTGAGGGGCACGTTTTTCACAAACCCATTGTGATGTAGAATCGAGATTCTTTCTTGTGGAGGAAAAGGAGAGTGCCAACTTCTGTCATCGCACAACCAGCAGCAGCAGCAGAACTTTGTGAATTCAGAAGTTGCTCCTGTACAACAACAATGAAATAAATTGGCTCGCTAATGAACCACCCCACCCAGCCAGCGATGGCAAGTGTGCGACTGAAAGGGAGGAGGATGTCCATATGCGGGTATAACCTGGAGATGAAGTAGTGCATGGCATCATCAAATGGATTATAAGCTGTTTCAATCTTTATAGGCGGAAGTGAGGAGCAACTTGTTTTATTCTTTTATTGCCCAATTTTCGATGTGAGCCAGCCTGCCCCGCATAACGACCAAGGAGGACAAAAACACGCGTAAACTGGAACATTTAATTAGTGAGGAATGTTACGTGAAAATTTCTTGTGTGTAGAAAAGAGTGGGCGAAAAGGTATGTATGTAGTCTCATCACGTCATGTAAATGTATGTATGAAGTACGAATATGTATGCGTTCAGTCGAGCCACTGGGGAATTTGAGAGTGAAAGTTTCAAGTCAGGCGTAAGTACAACTTTAAAGGTCTAATCCATTAAAAAAATTGGGGAGTATTATTTTCAACACGTGTTCTTCCTAGATTCACATTGTAGACAAAAAACATGGCACTATCGAGCCTTTTATGTGTCCAATTACCCACAATCACCTTTCCATAAATCCCACTAATTAATGATGATTCTGGTAATGATCGTCGTGACTGACAATGCTGTGGCATACGAAGTTCGATTAAATTGAAAAGTAACTGTGCACGTGATGTCAGCCTTTGACTAAGATTTCAGTTATCGGTTATCGGAAATCTTGGCATGTACATATACGGATAGAAATTGTTTCTAGTCAACTTAATGCATACACCCTTCCAAATTGAGCATATATTCAAATTTTCTAGTCTAGTAAAAGTTTCGAGACGGATATGTTCAAATTAAGGATTGTTATATATTTATTTTTCGGTGATGCTACCACTTGACGTGACCAAATTTTCGTCAAGAAAAATCAATATTACAACATTTGAATTCCAATCAGCGTAGTAAAGTGAATACGTATTCTACCATAAAAAAGAAAAAATATGATACAAATTAGGGCTTCGTGCAGTCAGCGCTATATTCGAGGACATACATACTTACTTACACATATGAACCAAAATGAGGACATTTTAGTCCTAAAATAGTGCGTCCTCATACAAGCTCGAAGTCAACTGAAATGCGTAAGCCATAAACCGAAGAAGGAGGATTCGAGGAGTGGAATGATATAATTTGTCCAGAGTAACAGATGACACTGGCTTCATGTTAAATGCTGTGTGGAAATTACCTCGACGAGCATTAATTTGCTACGACTTATATGGTAATGAACTTAATGATCTCTTGAAGCGACGACGACGACTATTTCCCGTCTCTTCCAGCCCTCTTTCTCTCTCCCTCGCTCTTCCTCCATTGTGTATTTCCTCCTCTCAAATATTCCAGCTTTCCTTAATTTCCTCCACGCTTCAAACAATGAATGTCAAGCCCAAACTGAACTGGAGTTGAGTTAAGATTACTACTCGAGTAGCAGAGAGATCAAGTTTTGTGAGGATCACAACACGAGTACTAAAAATGCTTCAAATTGTGATATCGTTGGAGCAATCTCATTCATAACAATTTTCGAGATGGTGACAACGGGCTTGAGCACTGAAGCCAGGAGGAGGAGGCCAATTACCAACTTCGCTCTTCAATAAACGACATAACTTCTCCATAAGTGTCATCATATCTACCTTTCCAACTACTGTAAATGGACGTTTATGGGAAAGAAAAAGTGGACTGACTAAATGTCCTCGAAAATTTGACAGTAATGCCCCGTGCAGGGAAATGTTATTACACAATCGTACCACTTGTCATCCGAGCTACGACGGCATACAGCCCGTCATACGAATCT